TCTGGGTGCCTAGAGTGGTCCTTTAACAGTGCAAAAGAATGTTACATTGCTTGAAATTTAGCTTGTCTAAAAGTGCACTAGTGACTATTATATGGTACTCAGCTCAACAACCCATAATGAAGCTTTTACAAAAATGAAAATGTAACTCTTGAGATTTGCATAACTTTCAGTCCATAAAGGGACACTATAGTCATCAAAACAACTTTAGCATAATGAAGAAGTTTATGTGTATAGATCTTACCTCTAAAGTCTCTATGCTCAATCCTCTGCCATTTAGGAGTTAAATAACTTTTGTTTCTTTCCAGCTCTAGGCACACCTTCCATTTCTGGGACTAAAACATCCGACTTGAAAAACATGGTTTCCTTTTCAATCAGATGCTCTGTAAATTGAGGTTTAATTGCACCCAAGAGGCCCCTGCAAGATTTAGAAAGCTATTAACAGTACAGGAGTTAAAAAATTCTAAATTAAACAGAATGTGCAATGAAGGAAGTGCAAACAGATCTCACTTTACGGGAATTATTTAGTAATGCTGTGCACTTACTGGCAGGTAGGTGTGACCAGGGCTTGATAAACACCATGATTTAACTCCTAAATGGCAGAGAATTGAGCAGCGAGACTCCATATCCATGATCTATACACCAAAACTGCTTAATTAAGCTAAAGTTGTTTTAGTGACTATAGTGTCCAATTAAATTAATTAATTGTAAAAGGATTAGGGGGGTAAAAAACACCAGCCAGTGTGGTCAATTAGTGATTTCACCAAAAGGTCATATTAATTGAACATACTGCTAATCAATACTTTACACCCACTCTCTGAAAACAGAAGACTTTTTTTCCAGGCAACCTTTCCCTTTTGGAGCTGTCAGATGTATCTGGTAATGCATGCATATGGCTGGGTAAAAGTACATGTGCTAATGTTGGGTACTTTGGAAGGAGTAATGATGATAGCACGGAATTTAAAAGACCAGTAGTTATAAACAAAAATTGCTATCTGTAAGCATCTGTTTGCAGAACAGTATGGTAGTAACTATGCAATGTGACATGAAGGTGTTAAATTCACAGAGCTCTCTCATCCCTACATTTAATTTTCTCATGTTGTCGGTCTGTGTGTGCCTTATTTAGGTTGTCTATAAAATGCCTTTTAAAGAACACCATTGGAAAACCTTGATACTGTACAGCATACATGTCTCTATAACTATATCCAATTAAAGGGCCAATATGCTAGCTATATCTAGCCATCAATTAACATTAGCAACACAAAAAATAACCTATACATATGTATTAGGTAGTTTAATGCCAGCATTCTTTCAGTATTCAGATGGTAATCATTTTTATATTCAAATTAACTTTTTATTAGTGTTATGTTACTCTCTATTAAGATATGCACATTTAAATGACTTTATTAGTAACTGATTGGTGTGTGGTTTTTCATATAATCCTTTTTCTGTCACAAAACACCTGTCCTCCCAACATATTCTGGTTCTTTTGTTTAATAAGGACACTATCAATTCATTATCTCATGACTAATGCTCTTAACACTGTCAAAACCATGTGTACATTTTTAGGGTTGCCATATCAGCTTTGGTTTTTCTGGATATATAGCACATATACATGGACTGGTTGTTACTCTGAAGTATCTAGCATTTCAAATGATACAACTACTAAATCTGAGCACTATATTTATACATATGAATTCCACCATACGTTAATATTAAAAAGCGATTTGTTGCCCAGAAAAACATGGTGAAACTCTATTAATAAGCAATTCTACATGTAGAATATAACTTGCATTATTTCATGCATACATATAAAGTATTTATGCTGATGGGTAGTGCATGAAAAGTGATGCTTATGATTATTTGAGTGATTTATTTGACAAAAGAAAGGTGTCTAGGATGGGCATTCTCCCCTTTTTTTTTTTTTCTGTTTAGCATTTTGTTTATTATACTGGAAAAAAAAAAAAATTAAATAAAATGTAATTCTCAAAAAAAAAAATGGTGCGCTTCTTGTACCATTACCATGCTGCGGGCGGGAACCTAATTAACGCATAATCAAAGCAGTTTAATTTAGGGGCCCCACCTTGATAAATTAACTGAATATTCTTGTAATGGCCAAGTGTGTCAATTTTGTATCCAAATTCATCTTTCCTTTTTCTAGGAGTTTCATTTTGTTGGTGTGTCTGTGTATATAACAGTAATGTCTTTAAAGGGACGCTATAGCTACCCAGACCACTTCAGATCATTGAAGTGGTCTGGGTGCTGTCTTCTTTGCACCCAGTGTTTACATTGCTGCTCTAAGTCTGCCCTCAGTGGTTGTCGATCAGACAGCCTCTAGAGGGCTTCCGGAATCAAAACTGACTTTTGGTCCATTAGCTGACGCTGGATGTCCTCATGTCAGTTTTTTTTTCCCCCATAGAAAAGCACTGATTCAATGCTTTCCTATGGGGAGGTCTAATGCGCATGTGTATTAGAGCCCACTCATCGTGGATCAGATGAGGGGGCAGAACTTCGACCCTGCGCTGTGGGACATCTGTGCTGGGATCATGTAAATAAAGGATTTTTAACACTTTGTTTACTGAGTAGGAGCGGGCTCGAGGGAGAGGGGAGGTAGAGTAGGCTTGAGGGAGGTAGAGGGATCGGTAGTGCCAGGAATACAGTTTTGTATTCCTGGCACTACAGTATCCCTTTTTAACCCTGCAAAGGTAATTTATTGCAGTTTTTAATAAACTACAATAATTATCTTGAGCATTAACTCTACCAGAAAGCCACAAGCGGGACTTCTGGGTCGTTAGGTGACTTGGTCGCCTGACGCTGAATGTCCTCACGCTATGCTATTATATTATACAATTATTATATAATGCTTTCCTATGGGGCAAGTACTAATGTGAATGTGGCCACCCCCACGCATACACTTCAGGTCTCCACTGGCTGAGGAGAAGAAGTGGAACATGAACCATAGCCAAGGGTACTGACACTGGAATCCGATAAGTGACAGAAGTGGGTTCAATATTAGGAGCTATAGTACCAAGAAAACTATCTTGTTTTCCAGGCACTATGATTTCACCTTTTTAAAGAGACACTGTAGGCACCCAGACCACTTCAGCTAATTGAAGTGGTGTGGGTGCAATGTCCCTCTTGCACTTAGTGCTGCAATGTAAAACATTGCAATTCTAGAGAACTGCAATGTTTAAATTACAGCTCTGTTAGCCCCCAGTGGCTGTCTACCAGAGAGCCACTAGAGGGCTTCCTGTATCGAAACAGACCTTTGCTCTGCAAGTGTCAGATTTTTTTTTCCCCATAGGAAAGCATTGATTCAACGCTCTCCTATGGGGAGGTTTAATGCGGGTGCGGCATTTGCCGTGCATTAGCGCCCGCTCATTTCAGGCCATCAGAGGGGGCAGGCCAGGACTTGGTGCCGAGGGACATCGGCACTGGGATAAGGTGAGTAAATAAATGGTTTGCTAGGTAGAGGGAGCTACAAAGCTTTGCATTCCTGGCACTATAGTATCTCTTTAATCGTGCAAGTGTAATTATTGCAGTTATTGAGAAACTGCAATAATGATCTTGCAGCATTAAAGGACCATTATAGGCACCCAGACCACTTCAGCTTAATGAAGTGGTCTGGGTGCCAGGTCCCTCTAGTGTTAACCCTGCAGCTGTAAACATGGAAGTTTCAGAGAAACTGCTTTGTTTACATATGGCAGCCTCTAGTGGCTGTTTTATTGACAGCCGTTACAGGCGCTTCTCACTGACTTTCACAGTGAGAAGACGCCAGTGTCCATAGGAAAGCATTGAGACTGCTTTCCTATGGACTGACTGTGCGCGCGGCTCTTGCCGCGCATTCAGCCGATGACGACTGAAGGAGGAGGAGGGAGCCCGGCGTGGATAAAGGTAAGAATTTGACCCCTTCCTCCCCCTTCAGCCCAGTGAGAGGGGGGACTTATTAATACTATAGTGCCAGGAAAACAAACTATAGTGGTCCTTTAATTTCACCTCTGGTAGAAAGCAACTAGTGGTGCTTCTGGGTCTATAGTGGACGTTTAGTTTGCTAAATGACACTGGACATCCTCATGCTTTGTGGTGGGGGGAGGGGAGAGGCACTACTACGTCGGGAATACAACTTTTGTATCACTAGCACTATAATTTCCCTTTAAACTACAGTAAACGTGTGGTTTTTTTTTAGAAATCAGTCTGTGTAAACACATTGTTCTTGTTCCATTTTAGTAAGTCTCCTACAATTGTTGGCCACAACTCCCCTTTTAAAATTTAAAGTGCCCCTTCTTTCTTTGTCTATTTGATATGTGGGGAGGTATGCATGCAGGATAACACTCTTCATTTTGGGCCTCTGATCCAATAGACGGGCTGTGTGTCCAGGATAACCTGCTGGCTCCTGCCATCACTTTGCCCACATGCCTGTTTGGCAGGGAGGGCAGTGTGAGTGCCCCCAGTAACGCCATAGGCTAAAAATAGCCGGGGCAGCCTCTCCCCCCCGTGTGTGGCCCTCCTCTTCCTCTCCCATCATCATCTTCCTCGCCCAGGCCCCGCCTTCTGACGTAAACGCTTCTTTTCTTTCCTCATTGTACACACAGAGCCCTCTCCTGCACCCCGGGTATAATCCCCCTCTCTACCCGTCCGTCCAGCGAGCCGCAGCCCGGGCCACCCGCCCAGCACTCTCAGCCAGCCTCCCTCCCATCCCGCCCAGCACTCTCAGCCAGCCATCCCCGGGCCGCACACAGGAAGCTGCTGACAGAGCCGGACGCCGAGCGGGAGCTCTCTTATTATTATCACTATCATTATTATTGTTATTGTGGCTGTGGTTGCTGTTGTTTGTTGCCGGATTGCCAGTCTCGGCCAGCGAGGCACAGCTCGGAGCGGCCGGCCCTCTCTCCCCCTCCCCCACCCCCCCCTGCTGCCTGCATGCATGTACTGTCCCCCGGCTCCAGCCAGCAGCCCAGCCAGCAGCCAGGCCCACACGGAGAGCAGCAGCAGGCGGACAGGCAGCCAGGCAGGCAAGAGCACAGCGCGCTGAATGCAGGTGAGCGGGGGGAACTGCAGGGGGCGCTGCGGGGCGCGCTTTGTCCGGGCATGCCGTGCCACATGGGGAACCTGGGGGGGGGGGGGGGGCTGGCTTTGTGGGCACCCACCTATTATTGTAGTGTGCGGTATGATGGATAGGGGAGACAGTTCTAACTTGGTGCTGGTTTTCACATCCCTTAACTTGTAGAATAGGTTTTGTTTTTTTTTTGTATAAAAACCCCATTTTGTGCCTATCTGGCCTTTTTTTTTTTTCTATGAGGCAAATGCTTGTATTATTAACCCCCTGCCCAGGGTACTGGCCTAGTGTGCAAGGAGCCTTTCATGGGGCAACCCGAACAGGCCTTGCTTAGATTTTTAACAAATGTACTTTTATACAGTATTTAAAATTATATCTTTTTTTTTTTTTTTTTTTTTAAATCATTTAAAACTTTTGAAAGTGGTACAGTATTTGCCAAGTTTAAAATCTCCTGAATCTAGAGCAAGGCAAACTAACTGTAACACAGTTATCAAAATTGAAAGTCTATATAGGTTTGATATCTGTGGGTTCTTATTGAACTTTCTGAATATTGTTCTGCAATTTTTCTCTATTATTTTGCACCAGCAATTCAAGTTGTTACCCCTTCTCACCAGTTTTAATATCCCATCTCACTTTTTTAAATGGGTTTAAATTTGAGTCCTAAGGAAAACAAAATCCTGAATTTAATGCTTCATAATATAATCTAGTGGCCATATAGGTTTTATACCAATATGTAAACTAGATTTTGAAAATATCTTAATGCAATCTATATATTGTAAAGTGCTACGAAATCTGTTGGCGCTATATAAATGGCGATGATGATAATACTAATAGTTGGCCTATATGATGTATATCATTCTGCACTATGTATAAAAGCATACAGAAAACAAATCTATTTTCCTCCTTCCCCTAGATTATAAAACTCAGAATGTTTAAACTAGTGACTATTGAATATCCATGTGGTCTGAATGGGCAGAGTTTCAAATTTAAAGGATGCCCCCTTAAAATGTAATGTGAAAATAGGTTTGTTTTTGTTTTTTTTTGTCTTTAAAAATATCTAAAATGCTCTGCTCCAGGATTTTGCTGAAACTTTGTAGTCACACAATTCAATGTGAATTTGAGAATTTTATTTTTCTATAGCAGATCTATTATATTATTCTAAGCTCTAAATCATTCCTAGAGAGCCAGGTCTATCATAACAATTCCATTATGGAGCTTAGAGAAGGAGAATAAGAAGCATGCTACCTGTGGAAAATTCTAGAAAGGAGTTAAATAGTAGAGGTTTTTTAAAAAAAAAAAAAAAAAAAAAAAAAAGTTGTAACACAGACTAGAGAAATGTCATTGTTTACAAACAGCCTCCACATTATTTTTTGAGGATTGGACAACTAGATGTATCTGACTGTTCTCTTTGCTTCATTTCTAAGTGTTTACTTTGTTGTGGGCCTCCCAGATGTCAACATATACACATGAAGCAAAAAAATGTGCTTCACGCTATGCGTAGTGGTGATTGCATAACCTCTCGGTGTGTTTATTTTTTTAAATTTTTTTTTTTTTTTTTTTTTTGGTCTATATGTTTAATCACATGATAAAAGTGGGAGCTAAAGGAAGGAAGAGGAGGGGGCAGATGCACACTGACTAGGCCTGCAAGAAAAAAGGCAGAGGGAGGGATTATTCTTTCAGCAGTCAACAATGTAGGATTTTTTTTTCTTCTATTTTTAATTTAGTCCTCCCACTACCCAAGTGTGTTGTGGTTTTTCTTTTTCTTCTCCTAAAATTGGTGTGCTTTGTTAAATTGTCTTATACGCTTTCCCACCTTGCTTCAGTTATTGTAATTTTGTTGTTGTTCTTGAGTTGTTTGTGTAGGTCTGAGATCACAGACTGCAGATGTGTTTACATGAACAAGGCTCTTATCTTGATTTTTTTATTTTTATTTTTTTCCTTCTTTTTAGAGTTCCAATAAAAAAAGTAAACTTATTCTAATCTGCACCCATTATTGCTTTAATTTCCTCTCTCTCAATGTTATCAGTTTAATGATCCCTTTAAATTTTTGGTGGGGGGGAATATTTTTTTTTTTTTTTTGTCTTGTATAAGGCATTCATTGATTGCTCTATGGCTTACATTATAAACTAAAACTTGTCCCGCTCCAGAGAGAAAAATATGTATTTGAAGCAGAATTACTGTATTTTGCAAAGGCTAAAAGTTGCTCACATGAAGCGTTACTATATCTATTTGTGTGATGCATGCACTAGAAGTCAGTTTTATGAGGCTTGTGTAAAAGTGAAAACCGGGATTAATTTTATAATAGATTACAGCTACCATATTTATGTTCCACGTAACACATTTTGTTACCACAAGCTAAGATTGTCCTGTTGTGGGAAATGATGACAAAAGCTGAATGGCTGCTCTGAAATCCTGTTCCAAGTGTCAGTCTTTCACAAATGTAACTAAACATTGTGTTTTTTATTAACATTACCTATCATTTATAAAACTGGTGATCCTTTTTAAAGGAACACTGTTTAAAACCTTAAATAATAAAAAGAAATATAATTTAACATTGGTATTCATTACTGGGGTCCTCCTTGTTGTGGAAGAAGAGGAAAAATTGTATAGAACATGCCTTTGTTCCAAAGCTGGGGCAGTCTCCTCTTCGCAGGCGCTCTCTGCCGATGGTCATGTAATAGCTGATGACTTTTGTCCAGTCAATTGCTTCTCATAGAGAAGCATTGGGGACATAGGGTGTATGTGTGACAATTGCTGGATTTTGCCAATCCAATGCTTCTTGTAGAGCAGTTCTGAATCCAATGCTGCTCTAGCAAAATTATGCGGGTTTGGGATCATTGTGCTCGGTGTAAAGCTCTTTGATTTTCAAAGGTCTTTGCGTGGAAGTCCCTCTAACAGCTATTAGACTGACAGCTGCTGGAGGTGTGCTACCAGACAAACTTAAACATTTTTGTTTCTCAGAATCGCCAATATCTGCCATTGCCAATCAAAAGGGGCAGCATCTATGCATTACTACATCACGTGGTTTGGATGCTTATTGTCCATTTAAACCTACACCTGGCTGCACATATGCAGATTTTTTTTTTTTAGCACATTTTTATTATTTGATAGGTTATTAGAATGCAATCTCCTATTTCCAAAGTTCACTCTACAGATTATAAGGACTTTAGCTTTGTCTTAAAGCCAAGTCTTATCCCAGTAGACCTTCATTAGTCAAGCTTCCTTTGTACTGAGACAAAGGTATATAATTACAACCGTGGAGCAAATATAAACCTTGAGTTTTATCAGGCTGAGTGAAAAAGCAAAAACACAGGACTCAATATTACTACAAATTTGGGTTACAGTATTCTCTAAAATATGTAGGGCTGTTTTAGCAGTTTGTAAAATGACAGCCATATGATCAAAACAGTGTTGAGACTTCCTGTTTACTGCATTTTGTTAAAATGTTTATCATGCAAAAGTAACAAGGCACTCTCAAGTCATTTACATATACCTCTTATATTTCTGTTTTAATGTGATGCATGTATCCCCCTGATCAGAGGCAGCAGGCCTGATGTTGTGCCAAGTTCTTTATCTAGTCATCAAGGCTCACCAAATTCAGGATTTAGGCATTCCACATTTCTCTTCCAATTTGGTTAATGAAAAAATATGTAAGTGTTGGATGAGTTTTTATTTTTTTTAAACAATTCTGAAGTAGCAATACCATCTTGTCTGAAGGTTTATTTTTTACTTATATTTTTTTATTATGCAAGCCTTAAGGTGAAACAGAACATTCTATGATTTAAAAAAAAAAAAAAAAAAAATAGTTGAATGGTCGGTTCAACCTGTTTTAATCACAAGGTTTACAAGTGGTCCAATGAACCAAGCCCTCATCTCCTCGCGTCCCCCCCCCCTTAGCTCTCTTAAAAGGAATTAAAACTCTCCTTATTCCCAGCGCTGTGTGGGTCTGCTGGTGCTGGTCCCACCTCCTTGGTGCCATCAGAATTGCCATGGGGGAAAGCATTGGATTTACTAAAATCAGTAAGGGGGCGGGGCCAAATGCCATTTTGACCAATCGGCACCTCTCATAGAGATGCATTGAATCAGTGCATCTCTATGAGGAAAATTCAGCGTCCCCATGCAGAGCCTACTGTGCAGCCCTGAGCCAGGAAGCTCCTCCAGTGGCCATCTGAGGAGTAGCCACTTGGAGTCCCAATGTAAACACTGCCTTTTCTCTGAAATGCCTGCACATAGACAAATATGCTCACTGACACCACACACACACACTTCAAATTGATCAGTTTTACATTCAAATGCCTGCATATAATTTTATACTCGCCAGAACAACTACATTAAAGGACCACTATAGGCACCCAGACCACTTCAGCTTAATGAGGTGGTCTGGGTGCCTGGTACAGCTACGTTTAACCATTTTTTCTATAAACCTAGCAGTTCCAGAGAAATTGCTATGTTTATAAATGGGTAAATCTAGCCTCTAGTGGCTGTCTCATTGACAGCCGCTAGAGGGCTTCCGCACTTCTCACTGTGATTTTCACAGTGAGAAGACGCCAGCGTCCATAGGAAAGCATTGTGAATGCTTTCCTATGGACTGGCTGTGCGCGTGCAGCTCCTGCCGCGCATGCACATTCAGCCGAAGAGAAGGAGGAGAGCTCCCTGCCCGGCGCTGGAGAAAAAAGTAAGTTTATCCCCTTCCTCCCCCCAGAGCCCAGCGGGAGGGGACCCTGAGGGTGGGGGCACTATAAAACTAGTATGTTTTCCTGGCACTATAGTGGTCCTTTAAGCTGTAGTTGTTCTGGTGAGGGTACTATAGTGTCCCTTTAAAACATTTTCTTGCAGATCTTGATTACATTTCTTGGGCTACTGTTAAGCTTTACCCTCTGGTTTATATTCGTGCGTAACCTGAGAGATATGTCTAGTCCTTCTCATGGTGGATTGAGAGGGGAGATCATATAGTAATATCTGCCTGACTCTGACCTTTATATGAAACCATTCATCTCCTCTTCATTGTGCACTCTTATCTCTGCGAGCACCCAGAAATGCACAATATAGCTTGTACACTTCTTTACGAAGAATACGATGTCCCTGCTATAATCCCGTCTATTCTTTAATGCCTACCCTTTTCCTTCTACAGCTAATTCAGAAATAGTACAAGTGACTTGAGAGACCCTAGACTGGAACAATTTGACTGATATTTATGATTCTTCCAAGCTTATTAAAACATACTCTGCTTAAAGGAACACTATAGGGTCAGTAACACAAACCTGTATTCTTAACAATATAGTTTTAAAATCACCATCTTGCCTTTTACTTCAGTCTGCTGTTGCTGGCTCTGCCCCTGATCTGTCTCCTTGGCTGACTTCATCAGAAGTGATGATCTGAGCCAATCAAAATGCTTTCCTATGGAGATTGCCAAGGATTTGCGGCTCTCTAAATCAATGCTCTGTAAGTAAAATTCTGCATCCTGAACAGCAGTGCTGCCCAATGTACAGTACTTCTACCAGGAAGCTCCTAGTGGGCATCTGAGGAGTGGCCACAGGTGGTATCCCTAGGGGGCAATGTAAACACTGCCTTTGCTCTGAAAAGGCAGTGTTTGCATGAAAATGCCTGAAGGGAATGATTACTCACAGTACTACATTAAACGGTAATTGTTCTGGTGACTATAGTGTCCCTTTAGTCGTTCAGTTCTTGAACAGTGTTATGTAGAGAGCAGTTAGAGATGGGCTGTAATAACAGGAGTCTTTTTTGACTCCTTTCTTACAGCAAACATAACAATTCCTCTGGACTGACTTTTTACAGGGTATAGTGGAGGGAATTCAGTAAGGAAAGTGCCTACCACCGTCTTTTGGCATCTGATTCCAAAATGGAAGGATTAGGTAAATAAAATATGGGACAAAAGTTTCAACATAAAACCAAGAAATGGATGTGGCTTACATAGGGTTGCTCATTTGTACAGTACATAGGCATTAAATTTGCAATCTAGCTTGGATTGCAATCTTCTTGTACCATGTCATACTCTTTTGGTTCAACAGATATGGCTGTATACATTGATCAGCCAAGTCTATTCCCCCACCCCCCCCTGTCTACTTGCTGTAGTCTACAATGCACTTAGTTTTTTTTTACAGCAGCTCAGTTCTTCCACTGACAGACTGGCACTGTAAGTTTGTAGACAGCGTGTATACATAATTATCTGTGAAGGGATAGCACCTTATCCTGGCATAGAGCTGAAGAGGAGCCTCTACTGCTTCTGCCACTTGTCAGGGATTGGGTAAACCTCTGAAGTCAGATCCCACACACTCTTGAAACGTTTGCGCCCACAGACTCCCTGTATCCTGGTTCAAGCTGGCTATCCTTCCTTTGACTGTGTGTAATGGATTCACAGAATTTATAAACATTTGATTGTGACTGATTCCTTGGAACCATGGGTAGGGAAGGAGTGCTAAAACGCCAGGACGAACTATGCCGCTCCAACAGCGTTTAAGCCTGTCTGCCGTAGGACGTCATGTACAGGTTATTCTCCTGTAGAATTTACTTTGAATGCTATCAGTGTTTACAAGTGGAATTGACTCCTGACCTCTGTTGCTCTCCTTAAATGTACACGTCAAACCTATAATGCACTTGTGCTTGCTGCTGATTCCTAGGGGTTATGCATGGCCACCTTGTCCCAATTCATAAAACTTTAAAACACCATCAAGCAGTTAGTTTGATAGCAAAGTCTTTGATTCACTCTAATTGTCCAAGTGGAAGTGAAAGCTTTTGTAAAGGGAAGCATTAGTCTGCTTTCCTGTGATACATTCTGTTTGGAGATTACTACAGTTGATTAGCACAATTTTCATGTGCCAATTCTATCCAGCTAAAAAAGGAGACCATGGTTTTCAGAGTATGTGCTTATGGATCTGCTTGAACAATGTTCTAAAACCCCCTCCCTCTCCCAAGTGCAAGTTGATGTCAAGTTGTCATATCATCTGAATGACTATTAAAGGGACATAATAGTCACCAGAACTACAGCTTATAGTATTTGTTCTGGTGAGTATAATCCATACCTTCAGGCTTTTTGCAGTAAACATGGTCTTTTCGGAGAAAATGCAGTGTTTGCATTACAGCCTAGGGATACCTCCAGTGGCCACTCCTCAGATGGCTGCTAGAGGTGCTTCCTCTGCCTTCTTGACAAGCTCAACCAATCCTATTGGGAAAGCATTGGATTGGCTGAGGTAATCAAGATTCTCAGCCATGGAGGGGAGGCCAGCTGTGGGGAGCCTGACTTGACATGAGGGAGGAAATAGACTTGTAAAAACCTTTCCCATGTGATGGGAGGGGGCACATAGACAAATATGTTCACTGACACACTCCCACTCACACTCTTTCTCACTCACTCACACTCAGTTTTACATTAAACTTATGTCCACCCAGCCTCCCAATCTTTGGGAGAGCTGGAGTGGATCTTCTTCCCTGGGATCCAGTCTGGTTGTCCTATTGCGGCTCTCTCTGCTCCCTTGTGTGCCATTTAGTGATGTTGGGGCTGGAGTGACATAACCAGGCTCCTGGCATCACAGAGTTGTGTGCGAAGTAACAGAGCAGGAAGATGACCTCTCCCTTGCCGCTGCCTTTATTGCTCAGACGCTTGCCTCAGGGGGTCCCTAAGGTAGCCTGGGCTGAAAAACGCCATATACATATGTCTGTATAGCTCTGTGGTGGTTAAATTCTGCCAAATTCATCTCAACAGCTTCCCAGGATAGTGAAATATTCCCAAAAAGGAATGTTTCAAGGGCTGTTGTAATATTAAAAGGGAGGACTTCAATGCTTTGGTGTAAGGATACGTTACCCTGTGCACTATTATAGCATCCTCAGGATGACTGTATATGTTTTAGTTGCCATGGAGATTATATATCAGCTGTTGTATTACAGAGCCTATTACAGGCATTTATAATGGTGTGATTTTGTTTTGTCTAATGACTGTAATAAATGTTAAAATATAATCTTTAATAGTACATTCTTCCTTAACTATAAACTGTGTGCTTGAAAATTATAATCTTGAGGTCTGTAATGGATCTGGCATAACATGGGACCTCCATGCATCTTCCTGGAGGCTCCCAAGAAGAATCTCTCTAAATGTTTTTAGTTATCGCTATATTGTGGCCACTTTATTTTTTTTATTTTTTTAGGCACATTCTATTAAGTCATTGTTTTGAATAACAGTGCTCCTTATTAAAGGGACACTCCAGGCAACCAGACCACTTCTGCCCATTGGAGTGGTCTGGGTGCCAACTCCCACTGCTCTTAACCCTGCAAGTATAATTATTAGTTTTTTTTTTTTTTTTTTTTTAAGAAACTGCAATAATTACTTTGCAGGGTTAACGCCACCTCTAGTGGCTGTATTCTTAACAATATAGACAGCCACTAGAGGGCACTTCCTCCTTCATAGCACAGAAAACCTGTGCTAGAGCGTCGCTGGACGTCCTCACGCCATGTAGGGACCTCCAGCATCGCTCCATTCCCCATAGGAAAGCATTGAAAATAATTTTCAATGCTTTCCTATGGGGAGCTCTAATGCACATGCGCATTAGGTCTCCCTGGCCGGTGGGCGGATCAGTCTCTCCCACCGGCCGACATAATGCAGAGGAGGAGTGGCGACGGAGGAAGAAGCAGTGACGTGGGACATGTCGCTGCCTCTGGTAAGTCACTGAAGGGGTTTTCACCCCTTCAGCAACCGCAGATTGGGGGGGTGGGAGAGCGATGGGACCTGCAGTGCCAGGAAAACAATCCGTTTAAAGTTTCCCTTTAAAGAAAAAAAAATAAACTCTGAATCACCAACACTTATGCCAGTGCTGAAACAGACTTCTCGCTGTAACGTCATCAAGCTTGATTACTTTTTTCTATTAATTGCTTTTTTTAGAGAGGCACTGCTGAGAAGGGAAGGCCCTGAATAAAAGTGGTTTTTTTTTTTTTTTTTTTTTTTAATTCAATACAAAAGTGAATAAGTATACTGTTCTCTTATAATGACAATGTTTGACATGCAGTTCACATATTTAAACCTCCGATATTTCTAAACGACACAAAGCTGCAGAAGTATTTCATAAATGTCTCAAATATTGCAATACTTGTACACTGAAGTCGAGCAACTCCAAGAATACAAATCAAATAGTAAAAGTACTGAGGATGCGATGTGTTGGAGAAATCTCCATTACTGGTCACGTGTACTGGCAAAAAAGTTCATTATAGTTGACTTTACCACCTGCCTAATATAGTGTAGGTCGTTCTCATGCCAAAACCTCTCTGGTTCATTAAGGCATGGTCTCCACAAGACCTCTGAATGTGTCCTGTGGTATTTGGCAGCCGATATTTTAAGTCCTGCAAGTTGCGAGGTGGGTACTCCGTCAAATTGGATTTGTTGTTCCAGGCCTTCCTGCAGATGCTCAACTTGAACGGAGATCTGATTAATTTGGAGGCCAAGACAACACCTTGAACTCAGTAATGTTCCTGTACAATTCCTGCAGTGTGGTGTGGTTCATTACCCTGCTGAAAGAAGCCACTGAGATCAGGGAACACAATTGCCAAGAAGGGGTGTACATGGCCTGGAACAATCTCTAGGTGGATAGTATGTGTCAAAGTAACATCTGCATTATTACCAGGACCCAAGGTTTCCCAGCAAAACACTGCCTCCACCTCCCTGCCTTTCTCCTGTAGTGCATCCTGCTGTCATCGCTTCACCAGGCAAAGGACATGCATAACCGGCCATCCACCTGTTCTAAAAGAAACCGTTATCCATCAGACTTGGCAACCTTCTTCTATTCGTCCAATTATAATGCTCACATCCTTTAGGAAGGCACTCTTGGCAGAGGACTGGTGTCATCATGGACCTTCTGACCGCTCTTTGGCCACACAGCCCATTCGTGGCAAACTCTGATGCACTATTCTGGTACTTTTCTTTCATCATGGCCAGCGTTGTTTTTCAGAAATTTGAGCTACAATATCTCTTCTGTGTGATTGGAACATATGGGCTAGCCTTTAATCGCTATGTGCTTCAATGAGCCTTGGGTGCCCCTGACGTTTGAGGGTTTTTTTTTTTTTTTTTTTTTCTCCTGGTTGTCCTTCCTTGCCCAAGTTTTGGTAGGTAGTAACCACTACATACTAGGAACACCCCACCAAACTCGCAGTTTTGGAGGTGCTCTGCTCCTGTCGTCTAGCAATCAATATTTTGTCCTTGTTAAGGGTAAAGTAACAGACCTTCAAGATGACCCCAATAGGCCCTTGTCAATATGACTCGGTGAACTGACTGTTCACTTGCTGTATTCCTGGCACTATAGCTTTTTCAAATGGTATGCCATGATAGGAGTATTTCTCATTCCTGGGCTGCTATACTCTTTCAAAGCAACATAGGCTCAGCAAAACAATCTGTAATCATGAGACATCGTTGGACACAAATGTGCATTTTATTGCAGTAAAATCTAACTTTTTTTTTTGTTTTTTTTTTTTGGTACATGGTACATGCAAGCCTGAGATACCCCAACGGCATTCCTCTGGCATCTTGTCAAGTTATACAATTAGGGTAGCAGAATGAACGTGCACATTTTTATATTCTGATAACCATGCATGAAACATGCTGAACTTGTGTAGAGTGTAGCGATTACATGCTTGTGCCAGTAGCCTGGTATTTTGCGTAAGACTGCACATGGCTAGCTCATAAATAGCATATTGTGTAAGCTTGTCTACTAATGTAGTGTGTGTGTTTAGGCTAACGTGCTACGTGCATGTTAAAAGCATTGTGTGTACTTCCAAGCTGGATTAGGCACATAGATGTGTATGGGTGCGTTTCAACATGTCTACCATGTGGATGACCTGTATGAGAGAACATATCATGGTACAGGCTATGCTGGGAATTTCTGTGCAGTCGCCTAGAGCATTAAAATTTGGGCCCTTGGTGTGGTAGTCCTGGATGGATAAATTCACGTGTCTGTTAGGAACATGTGGGCACTGTGGCTGGAGTTCTAGGGACACTGGATTACAGGCTTGTGACTGTCCCAGTCATCCGATTCCCTCTGGTGGTTATACAGCTGGTGCTGATCTGAGGGCCGCATTAACACAGGTGTGAGTGGGCGTGACCCTCCAGTCCCAGGCTGGTGTGTAGGCCGGAATTTCTTTGCCACTAACCCGGTTTCTTTGAGAGTCAGTTTCCTCATCGCGTCGGAGGGCCTGGTGGTCTTGCATTGTGTGCGCCTCCGCTTGTGTGTGTGATGCCTCTGGGCCCGAGCTCTTGTGGCTGAAGGTTGACCATAGGTGAGTGTGTTGGTGCTGTGCCCGAGGGTAGCCCCTTCGCTCCCTGGCGGTGCAGGGAATCTGCGGTTGTACCGGGATAGGGCCTTTGACTTGGAGGCAGGCTCGATATCCCAGGCATGCTCAATATCCACCCCCCCCACCTCCCTTAGGTGAAAACTCACATTATTTCCAGCACTGGATGCAGGCAGGGTAAAAATCTATTTTGGCCAATCAGCCCAGATGCATCTCTATAAGGAAAATTCTGCATTTCCATGCAGTGCTGCCTACCGTTCAGCACTGCCCCAGGTAGCGTCTCCAGTGGCCCCTTGGAGGTGTCCTTAGGTTGTAATGTAAACACTGCCTTTTCTCTGAAAAAGTAGTGTTTACATGAAAATGCCTGAAGGGTATGATTACTGACCAGAACAACTACACTAATCTGTAGTTGTTGTTCTTCTAGGCACTGTGCACATTCAGTTCATGGGCAGCTACTGCTGTGATCCATGATTCCAATTGTCTTCAGAGTATCATTGAATTAACACCAGGATTCAGCTAGAATTGTAGGAATCAAAACCGCAATCCTTCCCCCACCCTCCAAGTGCAAGGCTGTCTGAGCTATATCTACCAAACACTGCAAAATCTCTAATCTAAAGTGAATTGATGGCTAGAATTTTCCTTTTAATTTATGGTTGAATTAAAGAGGAACTTTCATTTTCCAGGATTTAATATTTATCTTCTGTTAGTGGCTGTCAGTTTCCCTCTTTCCTGACTCCTAGCCTCTGTGTCCTTCTTAACACCCCTCCCCCCATGATTGTATGCGGCTCCGTGTTACCTCTATCTTGGAATGTAGTTGGTTATATCTTCACACTACTTGGGTGACTATTTTAATTTATTTTTTTCTCAATCAGTTTTTACATGGCTATATAAACTTTTCAGTATTCAAACTTGGAATATCAAACTTTCTAGATCTCTCTCCTTTTTGGGGGATTTCAGCTGATCAGGAAATTTCCCATATCCATTTAGTTAAATTTTGTGATAAAATTTTTACATGGACACTGCAATACTGATGTTTACAACCTCTGTGCTCCGCTACATCTCCTATTAAAGATTTGTTATTTGCACTAGAGTATTAACTGAATGGCAGTTGGTACACTTTATTTTTACTTCGATTGGGGTGTAAGTTGTGTTTTTGGATTTTTATATGGCGGCAATATTATGTAGAGGTATTCTTAGGCTTGTATTTGGTAGCAACGTACCAGGATTGTATTAAATATCAGTGAGTTGTGATATCAAGTATTACTGTAAAGCTTACACTGGACGTAAATGTGTGTTTTTTTTTTTTTGTTTCGTTTTTTTGGGGGTGGGGGGAGGTTTATAGTATTTTACTGTAAATTACTGCTGCATATCTGTTAAGAGGCTGTTTCATTGCCCTTGTTGGTACAAAGACAAAGTTGAATCTAATCGGAGTAAAAAAACTTTTTTTTAAAACCTATATTTAAAAAAAAAAAACCAAAACACATTTTTTTCTTTTTTTAAATGGGTTTTTTTAACTGTTGGGCCAAATAAGATAATCGCTCTATTCAGTTTTCAAAATTTCCCCATTGCTTACACTGACTTCTACAGCTAGGTAAGCTGTTTCTGTTGTAAAACTATTTAATGATTTTCAAATTATTCAGCCAAGATGCATTTGGCAAGGGGGCAAATATTGGGTATTATGTATAAAGTGTGCAGTCATGGAAAAGAGGCAATCACAAATGCAGTGTATCTGCTGGTTTCCATAGTGACTGCCCCCTCTTGGCAATTTCAGTTACTTTTCAGAAACCATACTAATTCTACATCCCCTAAAACCATGCAGTGACTTGGGCTCGCTTGCCTGCAGAAGTGGCTTTCCAGTCTTGATATATTTGTGGACTGTTGTGAAATGCTATAGGCATAGACTTGCCTACCCCTCGACTCACCAATGGTTATTTCCCTGTATAAATGGGTTTGGAGTGTGGGTTCTGTCTTAAAAGATGTTTACATCTGAACTTTCCCTCATGAGTTATATTGGAGTTTATACAAGCAAGCAAAATTTAACCTCTTGAACACCTAAGAAACCAACATGATTTTTACTCCAGGGGAGCTTGTCCTGCCGCCATGGGTGAGATTAGTTGGTTTACTCCAGGTTTTTTTGGCCTAAGGATCTAAAATGTTCAGATTTCAAGAAACTATTCCCACTGTATCAGACTCTAACCATCTTGTTAGCCCTGTCCTATATTGAAGCAATGATGAACACCACAGAACAGGAAATCTAGTTAAAAAAAAAAAAAAAAAAAAATAGTCTGAAGCTCATGGTTTGTTTCTTTTTTGTTTAACTCCTGAATTTATGTATTGGATCTCCGATTCAATATTACAAACTTGGGGCCTATGTGGTGATGGCATGAGTAGATGTGGCTAAATAAAGATATCACTGACTTCTTGATTTTACACTCTCTTTTTATTTATTTAACATTCTATAGTAAATGGTTTGTACCATCAGGGAAAACTACACTGGAAGACTTTAACATTTCTAAGTCCGCATTCACAATATATTGAAATCCTTAAATGGAAACTCCCACTGCCCAAATAAAAATCACCCCGCACTATGTGCCTTACACACATACACACTATAAATATTCCATACACACACTATAGAACAGGGTTGTCAGACATGCGGCCCCCCAGATGTTGCTGAACTGCAACTCCCATGATTCTTTCAATGAAACAGCCAGGGAATCATGGGAGTTGTAGTTCAACATCTGGGGGGCCGCATGTTTGACATCCCTGCTATAGAACCTACACAAATCATTTGGTGAAAAGTCATTTTCGGTTTTGGCCCAGAATCTTCATTTCGGTGCATCCCTAATAATAAAAATAAATGCTTTAGATGTACCCCAGTGAAAACATGCATGCATTTGAATATTTGTTTTCAAATGGGAATAGATCTAAAACGACTTGCAAAAGCTGCAGATCTGCTGTCTGAACACTTTGCAAGCCCTCCCAAGTTTTCCAGTTCCATGACTTTCTCTGGCTGTCAAATCAGAATTTCCAATGCAGCTCAGTGAGACATCTTTGCAAGGTAGGTGCTCTGGGCAATTTGCTTTTTTGCATTTAGCTTCACATAGCCAAACAAACCAGGAAGTAACAGGATCGGTTGTTTCACAGTCAGGGGTTGTAACCGGGTTAGTTTACAAAAGCAATTTCTATTGAAATCTTAACTTTTTATAAAATGAAAAATCCAAAGATACTCTTCAAGGAAGCTAAAGTTTGAATACCAGTACTGTGCCCTCCACCCCTCCATTTTTCATCTCGTCATTGTGTTTTAAAGTTTGAACTGTCCTAAATATTCGTGGTATTGAGGTTAGATGACACTCCCCCCTAATTATAGCTGCACCTTATGGCTTTTAAAATTCAGTCACCTGTTTTCTCATACACTTCAGGGTGTTGTTGCCATACATGTTTGTAAAATGTGCCATCCATTGTTAATTGACCTGCATAATAGAAATTTATGCTTGAAATTTGTTGCATTGGATTCTTTTGATAAATATTGTACTAGGAAACAAAGTATAATTCTTCATACCTTATTTTCTTGCACTGGCAATATGCTACAGGCAAACTGAAAATTATTCTTAGAATTTCACAACATGTTTATTTCTGAAAAACTTAACACCCCGTCTGCCAAGTTTATTTATGTTTCCTCTGCTCAGGTTTATTTGCACCGTAGTTTGCTTTATCTTTGGTCAAGTTTTGAAATACTGCAGGAAATAATTGTGAAACTTAACCTAAATTAAATTACACATTCTTTTCTGAGATCTTTAGATTACAAGATATTTCATATTTATGGTTAAATGTTATTTTAAGTACTGTACATTTGACATGGGTTTGGCTCTGCATGTTCTCTCCCTCATGGCTTTCTGTTAAAGGCTATTGTCTTATAACCTGTTTTTATGCTAAATAAATTGTAGTAAAATTGATATGTTAACAATTCATTTGTTTTTAAATGTGATAGAGAAATAAAATATCTTTATTAATGGATAGCGCTTTCATCCTGTTAGATTTGGCAGCTGCATGTTACTGGACAGCGTATATTATAGGCTGAGACTCTTAATGTAATACAATAGGATTTATGACAGACCTTAAATTATTGGCCCATGCAGCCTGTTATGTCAGTCTGCTCACCACACCCCAGTTAAGTGTCTTGTTGTTGTGAGAAGCATGTCTCTTGTTTTTGTGCTTTACAATCCCTACCTACTTTGTTATAAGTTTCCTTGTATGTTTAATCCATCTTAATGAGACGTTTACATACATTAGGGGCTATATTAGATAGATGTGCATGGGTTTTTTTTTTTTTTTTTTTGGTTTTTTATTTAAAAATAAATAAAAGAGAATTTCTCTTAAAACAGTCTATTTTGACTGAGGGAAATAAAATGCATCCATCTCTATACAAGTGATTTTATCACCATAGAATGATTTGAGAAGAAAGATTGAAAATGACTGCACTAGAGGATTCATGTTGTGTCCCTAGTACCAATACTTTTACTAATCAAATTTTGATGTGTAAATTATGGTAGCATGAGTCTGACACGCATTTGAGTATTTCTTTAATTTCTGTATGAAGACTCCCTATGGCTCTTGCCATTTCTAGCTTTTAAACTGGTTCTAAGCAGAATGACTGACTACTTCAGTGATTTAAAGGCACACCATAGTCACCTAAATTACTTTAGCTAAATAAAGCAGTTTTAGTGTATAGATCATTCCCCTGCAATTTCACTGCTCAATTCAATGTCATTTAGGAGTTAAATCACTTTGTTTCTGTTTATGCAGCCCTAGCCACAACTCCCCTGGATATGATTGACAGAGCCTGCATGGAAAAAAAAACTGGTTTCACTTTCAAACAGATGTAATTTACCTTAAATAATTGTATCTCAATCTCTAAATTGAACTTTTAATCACATACAGGAGGCTCTTGCAGGGTCTAGCAAGCTATTAACATAGCAGGGGATAAGAAAATCCTAATTAAACACAACTTGCAATAAAGAGAGCCTAAAGAGGACTCTCTCTTTACAGGAAGTATTTATGGAAGGCTGTGCAAGTCACATGCAGGGAGGTGTGACTAGGGTTCATAAACAAAGGGATTTAACTCCTAAATGGCAGAGGATTGAGCAGTGAGTTCTATACACCAAAACTGCATCATTAAGCTAAAGTTGTTCAGGTGACCATAGTGTCCCTTTACGTTCTGGTGCCTGCAGTCTGTATGTGCAGCATGCGATGAAACGCTGCACATACGGAAACTAATGCCTCTGGCCACATAATTAGCCAGCACTGAACAAGAGTTCCTAGCTGACTAATGTGAGCTTTGGAATCTCATGCCAGCAAGGGTGACCATCCCCAGAAGATCAGGCTGCAGGGAGAACTTGGGCTCAGTCCTGGAATGAAGGTAACTTTTTAATTTTTTTTATTTGGGGAGGGGCAGACCAGGTTAGGAAAGTTTACTCAACAAATAATTGTTTTTTTCCTTAAAACGTTGTTTGGTTAGACGTTAAGAGTAACACTAGAAATTATTAGCTAGTTTGTAATTTGTCCAAAGCTGTGTCCAGCATTATGTATATCCCCCTCTAGAATACAGTGTTTTGAGATGTATACTCTGTTACTCTGTATCTTGGAGCTTTCAGACCAGCGATTGTGTGTTTTTTTTTTTTTTGTTTGTTTTGTTTTTTTTTTAAACATCTGTCAGGTTTACAAGGTGTTATCCATATGAAAGATTGGAACATTCGATGAACCTGATCTTGGCTCATAGAGTAAATACCCAAGCCAACCATTAAATACTTTTTTTTTTTTTTTCACAAAGCAGTCATTTGTAAGAATTACCGCTTCTTTTAAGTGAACCTGTCGGTATGTATTTTTTGCACATGTTACACATATGATACATGGGGTTTTTTTTTCTCTCTCCTTAATCAACATGTAACAGCACCTTTGCATGCGAGCCGAAATCTTACACTACAGAACGTGACTTGAACCTGTTGGGAATCCCCAGTTTAAGTGTTGCAGATCAATTAAAAGTACATTATACATCACTTTTTTATATTATAAACTCGAACAAGTGTAAAACTTATTGTCTTGGCTGTAATGCTGTAATACTATGATAATGGCAGAATTAATGATTTGGATTAGGGAATATACATCTTTCTAAAACACTGGACGATGTATATGAGCAGAACCAATTAAAAATATTTTGTCATGTTAAGTATTGCTTTCTGCAAAGGGGGGAGGGGAGGAGGAGAAAGGTCAAACTTGCAGTAAAAAATATATACTAACAAACCATGCCTAATAGTTGGGCTAGTGGTTTGAGTCAGAGTAGCTTGTGAGTGAGAGAAGACTAGTAATGAGATGCATAACCCTGCTTGATGCGTGGGTACAGTGAATCATTGCAGGTCATGGCTGTAATGTCATACCATTTTTTGCTTGAATTTTTTTCGAACAAAATATAGACTTCCCTTGTTTACAAAACAGCCTTTACATCTCTACTCAAAATAGGCTAGGGTTACATAAATTTTTGTGAATTTGTCTGAAATGTACTAGCCAAATTAACTTTATAATTAAAGGACCACTATAGTGCCAGGAAAACAAACTCCTGTAACGCTTGTCACCTACCTTTCAATGTGCCCCCTTCTTCTCTCCATGTAGCGTGGTTGAGCGGGCAGTACGCAGTATAGAATCCTGTTTCCTGTCCCGGTCTGACAGGAAGCGAAGCAGTTTGTTGCATCTCCTGTCAGACCGGGTAGACCACGGTCTGCCTGCTTGCCCACTCTACATGCAATGACTGGCAGGAGGGGAGGACAGCCACTAGAGGTCTTGGTAGGCAGCAATATAAACACTACCTCTTCTCTGAAAATGCAGTGTTTACATTGAAAAGGTTATAGCTGTAGTGGTTCTGGTAACTATAGTGTCCCTTTAAAAAAAAACAAAAAAAAAAACACAAAAAAAAGTTCTCCTAGCTTGGGACATTTAGACAGCGTGCCACGCGGAGCGTTGCCATGGTAACCCGTGGCAACGCTCTGACGACCGCAAGACTCTCAAGATTTAGACAGGGGGCTGCTGGGAAGGTAATTAAGCGCTTGCTGTGGGGCCCCCCAGGACCGCCGGGCTTTTCATGGGCCCAGTGTTTCTGGTATGTATTAACGGCAATATCGAAATCTCTATTGGCAGATACCGATATTGCCGAAAATCAGTCGATCCCTAGTACAGAATATTGGGAAGTTATTGGCTATCTGCCTGAAAGGTCAGATTATCGGTATCGGCTCTTTAAAAAAGATTTTTTTAAAAAATCATTGGCCAACCCTGTAGCCTTGGGGATACAAGCATGTTATTGTTTTGCTATCGATTTGTCACCACCCACCACATAACTAATGAAATAAAGTATTTAACGCTTATCTGTCATGCTGGTCTCTGTATGGGAGCCTACCCCTCTGTTGATCTTTGCCAATCTCGGCTTCTCCATAGGAATGCATTGGGAGGCTTGGAGATTGCCACACTGCACATAATCTGCAATCTTACCACCACTAGAGGTGACATTAGGCAGCAGTTTAACCCCTTAAGGACGGAGCCAAATGTACACGTTGTGAACAAAACAAAATGTAAACAAAACCTGGCATTTGCGCTACATGTCTGTCCAACCGTAATTCACCTCTTTCATAGTAAATGCACCCACCCTTTATTCAGGGGAAACAGGGCTTTCGTTTAATATCAAATATTTGGTTATGAAACATAATTTAATATGAAAAAAATGGGAGAAAATAAGATTTAAAATTTTTTTTTTTTAGTTCTACATGACATTCTAACTGTCAATGTCATAATACTGTTTGCTTTTACTGCAATAAAATACACATTTGTATTCAGCAAAGTCTCACGTGTAAGACTGTACCCCCTATGTACAGGTTTTATGGCGTTTTGGGAAGTTACAGGGTCAAATATAGCACGTTACATTTGAAATTGAAATTCGCCAGATTGGTTACGTTGCCTTTGAGACTGTATAGTAGCCCAGGAATTAAATTTACACCCATAATGGCATACCATTTGCAATAGTAGACAACCCAAGGTATTTCAAATGGGGTATGTCCAGTCTTTTCCAGTAGCCATTTGGTCACAAACACTGGCCAAAGTTAGCGTTGGTATTTGTGTGTGAAAAATGCAAAAAACGCCAATTTTGGCCAGTGTTTGTGACAAAGTGGCTACTAAAAAAGACTGGACATATACCCCATTTGCAATACCTTGGGTTGTCTACTATTGCAAATGGTATGCCATCATAGGGGTAATCTTCATTCTTGGGCTACCATAGGGTCTCAAAGGCAACCTAACCAATCTGGTGAATTTTAATGTGGAAAAAAAATGAAACGCAAGCCTTATATTTGATGCTGTAACTTTTGAAAACACCATAAAACCTGTACATGAGGGGTACTGTTGTACTTGGGAGACTTCGCTGAACACAAATATTTGTGTTTCAAAACAGTAAAAAGTATCACAGCAATATCGTCCGTGTAAGTGCTGTTTGTGCGTGAAAAATGCAAAAAAGTCACTTTTACTGGCGATATCATCGTTGTAATACATTTTACTGTTTTGAAACACTAATATTTGCGTTCAGCGAAGTCTCCCGAGTAGAACAGTACCCCCCATGTACAGGTTTTATGGTGTCTCGGAAAGTTATAGGGTTAAATATAGTGCTAGCAAATTAAATTCCCTTTACTTTCGGCTGTCAGGCATGGGTTGTCAGGCAGGTCCCGCTAATTGTAATTAAGATACCTAATTATGTAAAAATATTACATAAATATATGTAGAATTAATGTGTGTGTGTGTGTGTGTGTATATCTATATAATTTTTTTAAATATTTTTATTTATATATAGGTGTATGTCTGTCACTAACGTATGTATGTATTTCGTTCTACGTGTATTTTGATATATATTTCACAATACAGTTAGAACGAAGTAACACACATCTATATATTTTTTAATTTTATTTAACGTATTTACATATTTATTTTTTATATATGTAAATATATATAACAATTATATATTTAATCAGTATCAGTCTACGTGCAATTTGATATTAATATAGTTAGTAAAATACACCTAGTAGTGTGTGTGTGTGTGTGTATATATATATATATATATATATATATATATATATATATATATATATATATATATATATATATATATATATATATATATATATATATATAAAAATTTTCTTTTAATTTTTTCATTGGATTTCCAGCCAGCAGGGGGACCACCTGTCATTACAGGCAGCCCCCCTGCTGGCAGTGCTGCAGCCAGCTATCCTGGCCATGTGATTGTGAGGTCCTCGCAAGGACTTCACTCTCACATGGCCGGGGTGCTCCCTGGGAGTCCCCCCCAACCGCGATCGCCGGCGTGGGATTGCCGGAGGGCGTACTATTATGCCCGGCGGCGTTTAGAGCCGCTTAGAATAGTACGCCCTCCGGTCTTAAGGGGTTAAACTAGGGATGCACCGAAATGAAAATTCAGGATGCCCTTGGCCAAAAATGTTTTGTTTTTTCTTCCCCCAAATGAATCCTAGAATTTGATTAGACTTTTTTTAATGAATTTAATCTAATCTGAAAAACTTCCCTTCTCTTTTATTGGTCTTCCCTGCCTTTTTTTTGTGTGTTCTTTCCCCCCTCCTCCCCTGTCCCACATGGTGTAATTTAAAAAATCAACAGACTTGTTTTAGGTTAATACTAGGTTACGTCTGCTCTTTAGAATAAAGGTGAAAGAAGATATGAATAGATAAATGCTGATTTTGTTTATATTTATACAAATGGCTCCCCCCTCCTTTTTTGACACTTTTTTGGAAATACAGTTGAGTAGATTTGTTTTGATTCTACTTATGTCTGTGAAATCAAGATGATGTATTCAGACTGTCAAGGTTTTCTTCCTGACATTTCAGAGTAGGTTTTGCATATTGCTGAAAAAGCATCTGATATCTAATCAAAATGCAAGATGTATAGGTGCATTATTCTCTGTTGAAGGAAACCATATCTAAGACTTGGTCAGTCCTTTAACCCCTTGACGGTCCTGAACAGTCATAATGGTAATATTTAGTTACCCGATCGCTGCCGTTCCCCCGCCGGCAACCGGCGTTGCTCTTGGTCTGGGGGGACTGCCCCCAGTCTAACAGTGGTCACATGGCCACAATAGGCGTCCGTGAATCTGCCTGCAGGGGGACTGCCTAAACTGACGGGCAGTCCCCTACATCTGTAAAATAAAGTGTGTGTATATATTTAAATTCTACGTGCGTATTTACGTAATATTTGTACATAATTAAGTCATTTTATTGATTGCTATTTGAGGGACCTACCTGACAACCAGGCCAAAAGTCCAGAGCATTTAATTTGTTAGCACTGTATTTAACCCTGTAAATATCTAGGACACTCTAAAACCTGTACAAAGGGGGGAACTGTTTTACTCTGGAGACTTCGCTCCAGAGTACCATTTGCAAAAGAAGACAACCCAAGGTATTGCAAATGGGGTATGTTCAGTCTTTTTAGTAGCCTCTTAGTCACAATCACTGGCCAAAGTAAGCGGTCATAATTGTTTTTTGCATTTTTAACACTCTAATATAAATGCTAATGTGGCCAGTGCTTGTGACTAAGTGGCTACTAAAAGACTGGACATACCCCATATTGAATACCCTAAAAAAAAAAAAAAAAAAATTGTACATGTGAGGTGTGATTCAGAGATTTATGATGGATAAGTGTTACAATGTCACGATTGCAGTTTCAAAATATATAATTTTAACATCAATCTCCTACTTGTACTTCTATCCGTATAACTTGCAAAAAAGCATGTAAACACTAGGTGTTTTTTAAACTCAGGACAACTTTTTGAATCTATATAGCATTTTTTTTTAATTTGGCTTTTGTAGGCAAGTAAAAATTTTTTTCAAGTAAAAGACCGTAATTTTTTAAAAATTATTTCAATGTTTGGTATGTAAAGAAAGCCCTTGTCCTGGGGGAAAAAAAATCTATAATTTTGTATGGGAACAATAAATGAGGGAGAAGAAAATTATAGCTCAACACAAACTCAAAGTTGTTAAAACTGCTCTGGTCCTTAACGTACAACATGGCCAAAACAGTCCAGTCTTGAAGGGGTTAAAGGGACACTATAGGCACCCAGACCACTTTAGCTCATTAAAGTGGTCTGAATGCAGTTCCCCTGTCAGTTTCTGATTATTGCAGTTAACCACTTTTAGTCACCTGACTTGCTATGCACGAGGACCTCTTGCGTCTGCTAAAACCCCATAAAGGACAAGTGCTCTCTAACACAGATTTAGACAGATTTGTGAACAATATTTGACAGAAATAGGCCTTTTGTGTACATAGAAAAAGTCTTAGATCTTTGAGTTCCGCTCATGAAAAATGGGGACAAAAACAAGTGAGTTTTTATAATTTTCTTCAGTGTAATATTTGACTTGGTTGGGCCTTAAAGCTTCTACTAAAATGCTTGCCCATAGGATTGGCTGAGACTGACAAGGAGGCAGATCAGGAGCAGAGCCAGTCTGACTCAAACACACATGAGGAAAGTTCAGTGTCTGCATGCAGAGGGATGCATTTTAGACAGGAAGGACCTCTAACAGCCATCTGAGGAGTGGCCAGTGAAGTTATCACTAGGCTGTAATTTAAACCCTGCATTTTCTCTGAAAAGACAGTGTTTACAACAAAAAGCCTGAAGGTAATGATTCTACTCACCAGAACAAATTCAATAAGCTGTAGTTGTTCTGGTGATTATAGTGTCCCTTTAAGGAACTTGTTTCTGGCTTGCACTGCCTACAAATCCTCCACCAACTTCCTGGCTCTTTGATTCAGAAGGCTTGAAGGCATGTCTAGAAGCTGCACTTAAACACAACAGTGGAGCCTGAGACCAAGGGACTCAGAATTATGGCAGTAGTACAACTTCATGAAGATTAATTTGTTATAGTGCCCTGCAGTGTTACTTCATTTTTATTTATTTTTTTTGGATCTAGTGCTTACCTTGTTGAAGAGGCAGAGAAAAAGTTGGATTTTCTTAGCACACTTATGCTTGACATTGTGTGTGTAAAGCTATTTTTAACCTTTCTTTGTAGTAGCTTAGTGTTTTGTTGAAGTTGTCATGTTGTATGTAGAGTGCTTCGTTATAAAATGCTTCACCTACTGTTAAACTGTAGCTAAACACTGAGGTGAAACTCCTCTGGTTGGGTAGCACTCAGCTGACACTCGTACAATGCATCTAGCTTTTGCAGCTGCTATAATACACTTTTTTATGGATACTTTGCAAATCTAACATGTGACACTACTGAGCAACTGTTCTGAGTAAAATACTCTAATGGAGGGGCTTGTTACACTTGACTTTAGTCTGATCAGGCTAAGAAAAATTAAGGCAGTCCTCTGAGGTTAAAAAAAGCTCTCCAAGCACCAGAACTATAGCTTGCTGTAGTCCGATATAAGAAAGGACTTTCAGTTTTTACAGTTAGAATTTTGATAGATGGCTTTGATGGGCCAATACTGCATTTTGGGGAATTGTAGCAGTTTGACATTTTAAATTATCCCCCAAAATGCATATAATTTAGATACCACAGGGTGTCATATGGTATACTTCCAATCTTATTGTATAGTAATTTTAGCTCCTATTTCTTCCAAAGTTTAAATTTGCATACTTTGTAGAATGGTCCCCTGGCATACCCATGTCAAAGTTTTGTGAAAATACAGGACTGAATTTATAACATGCCCTGTGTTTCCCCCATGGGAGAAGTGATGGCTGTAAGTTCACTGTAGCAAATCATATGCTCAGCTAAAATACATCTTTCAAAATATATAAGGAACAGCGGTCACCTAAATCTTGGCAAACAAATATGGGGATTCCGTTCTACCATATGGTTGCGTTGAGCCCACCACTACTTCACAGTATCATGGTATTGATTGGTCCTACACTAATTCAAAAAATTACTTCTAGTTAACCATAAGTAAGTTATGTGACTTTATTTTAATTTTATACTTTTTTTTTTTTTTTTTTTTTTTTTTTTTTTTTTTTTTTTTTTTTTTTTTTTGCTTCTTTGCTAATGTTTCAGACCATGTCTTAAAGCTAGTCGGTCAAGATTTGATTTGTCTAAAAGCAGAGGGATCTGTGAATCTTTAACCCCATCAATTTTTTTACCTTTTTATATTCCCACTACTGGTCCCTGAGCCTCTTTTCCTTTACACAGCCATCTTCTAAGATGACCGTGTGAAAATGGTATACTTTGCCCTTAGCTCAGTTAGCTGTTAGATGTGCCGCTACAGGAAGTGGTACGATGCTTGTGGGGGCGAAGGGTGGAGTGACAGATCCATTTGAAACTTTGCACAATATGGGATTTTATATAATCTTGACAGACATCAGAAAACTAAATTTAAAGACTAAACCATTGTGCAAAATGTATTAGGGATGCCTGAACAGCAGAGTGTACTGCACTTTTTAATATTGTAATAGCTAGGCTCCCATACTTATAAATGTTTATATATTTTAAAATGTTACATGTGTTTTTTTTTTTGTTTTTTTTTGAGGAAAAACTCTGGTCACCTAATATTGTAATCTCATTCTATAAACTGCAGCTTTTTATATTGGTGAGTCACGTTTTGTTTTTGCATTTATTTATTTTAATTTTCCTTTATATCCAAAGCACTCAACTTCATACTACAAAAGGGCTGCTGACAGGAGGCACAATGGTTTCAGGTAAAGTTCACAATTTGTGGGGTGCAATTTTATTTTATAAAAGGGTAGCACTAATTTATTTTATATTTTCATTCTTTGTAAATACTCTTCTTTTCTGCTTAAAATCTCTATCGATCCTACAGTGTTCCCTTTAAGCCTATTTGTATGCTTGCTTAGCCATGAAACAGTTGAGTGTGGTTCGTTTCTCATCTTTTTCAACGCTGAATCATCCATGCACAAAAATGGTCTTGGAGAGAATATTGCCGTCTGGTTCCCTCCCCCCTTATCCCTCTTTCACTTTATATTGGTGGTGGTTGTTTTAATATTTGGATTGATGTTTTGATGAGAAGACACATTTTACTGTTTGGTCTGCTTTCTTTCTTTCACCAAGCTTGGGGGTTTCTGTACTGTCAATCTTCCAGTGTTTTTTCTAGTGATGCAAGATTTGACTGCCAATTCCAGCATTCTTGGGCAATCACAAATGTCCAGATTGGACTAAATTTTCGTAGATATTATGGAAGTCTTTTGTTATCATTGCATTGTCTTTTATGTGTAGTCACTTTACTTTAAAAATACCTCCTATCAAATTCAGTGGCAGCATACCTGAAGATAAGCACTTATGTGTATAATTTCTTCTAAGGCATAGAAGTGTGGGGTGTGATCTAGGTATCCATATACTTCATGCACCTGTTAAGTTATATTTCCAAGATGCTTAGTCCATTAATCTGTCTGTCCTGTTAACTCTAATGGAGGGGCTTGTTACACTTGACTTTAGTCTGATCAGGCTAAGAAAAATTAAGGCAGTGCTCTGAGGTTAAAAAAGCTCTCCAAGCACCAGAACTATAGCTTGCTGTATTGGTTATGGTGCCAGGAGTGTGCTGTCGCACTCCTCAGGTAAGAAGTCACAGTTCAAAAACTTTTGGCAACTTACGTGGAGTTCACTGGGCACAGTCTCCTGCAGAGCCAGAAACTACTGCAGCGATCCTCCATTATCGCCAATGATAGATGTCCTGCACCGCCAGGTTTAGCAGAGTGCTGGGAGATTCGGGGGGCAGGCAGAGAGAGATAGGAGAAGGTGATCAGCATCTGGTAGACCCAAGCTAAGTTATTAAACGGTTTAATTACCCTGAAAGGGCGATAGGGGAGGGAATGTGTTGGAACATCAGAAAGCAGCACGGAGCCAGGAAGCACCTCCAGTGGCCATCTGAGGAGTGGCCACTTGGAGGTGTCCCTAGGGGCAATGTAAACACTGCCTTTGCATGAAATTGCCTGAAGGCAATGATTATACTTATCAGAAAAACTATATTAAGCTGTAGTTGTTCTGGTGACTATATAGTGTCCCTTTAACCCCTTAAGGACACATGACATGTCATGATTCCCTTTTTATTCCAGAAGTTTGGTCCTTAAGGGGTTAGTCAGGACAACGATTGTCCTGATGGATAAGTAGATTGGGCTACCACTTTAGCCTATGAAGTAAGATTTTATTTACTTTCAATATTTTATTTTTTTTCCCTCTCGAATGTAACTCATTGTCATGAGTCGACCGCAAGTAGTGTAATCAGTCTTTGAATGTGTAAACTGAAGATGCAAATTCTAGTATATTAAATTAATTCCCTCTAGAACAGGTGACCTCACGTTCTTGGTTTCTCAGAGATTTGGGGACTTAACACAATTGTCTCCACTTTAAAGTAGACAAGCGCAAATGCTCCAAAAACGTTGAACACTCTAGCTTTAGAAATCCATGTCTGTATTCCTAATGTTAGTTTTATACCATTTTGTTTAAATTCAGGCCCCCTTGGCTTATTTCTTACTTCTCTGGTCTTGCAGAGCAGCTACTCCTCATATGGCTGAGAACAATACTGTTGTATAGTCATTGGAGTTGGCATTACCCAGCAATATAAAAATTGCCATTTCTTAGGAAAGGCAGATTTACAACTGCCTTAAAGTACACTCCAAAAAGCTTACCAAAAAGATTTGTGTGAAGCGTTTTTTTTTTTTTTTCTCCTTCTTAAAAAGTGCAGATTTCAGTAGAAATTGACATTTTTATAACTTGTACTGGGGATACCCCACTGACTTTTCAAGCAGACAACTGGTCCTGTTACGTCTTTTATTTTATTTTTTTTATTTTTTGAAGCATATTTACACTGCACTCAAGATGCAGCAATTGTTCAGTCTTGCAAAAATATTCTCACTGAGCCCAACTGGGGAGGCTGTGTTTGGACAGCCACTGAAAGTTTGGGCTGGGAAAGAAGTGGAGGGCAGGCTAATGTAGGAGATGAGATCTGCACGTTTTGCAAGCTGTCTTTAGATATACACCAAATGAAAACTTGCATGCATTTAATTATGCATTTTCTTTTTAAATTTGCCAATATCTACTTAACAGTGATTTTCAGTTTTTATTTGGGCCGTGGAGAGTTTCACTTTAAACTGTAGTGGTTCTGATGCCTAGTGTCCCCTTTTAACCGCAAAGATGTTTTGCCTTATACCGCAGTAAGCTCTACAAACCTGTCACTGTAAGTCTAAAATCAAATATTCAATTTGTCACTCTATCACATGAATGTGGCTTGCATGTGAGGGGAAGGGGGGGGGGGGGCAGAAATCTAGCGTCAGGCGACCAAAACTCGCCTAATGGTTCAGAAGTCCCTTTAGCGGCTATCTTGTAGACCGCCCTTAGAGGTGGAGCTAATGTCTGCAATAATTGCCTTTTTTGAGGGTTAAGGGGCTTGGGACAGTGGTCTGGTTGTCTATAGTGTCACTTTAGGTATATTTGTGCTAGTGTCTGACTCAATTTTTTAATATATATATTTTTTTTTTTTTTTTAACGATCTTAAATGAACCTAGCATGTATTACAGCTTCTTTGAGGTTTTGTAATATATATCTAGGTGTGTTTTTGTATCTATGTACCTCATTGCAGTTTTATTTATTTTAATGTGTTTTTCTGCCTTACAACTTGGTTAATTGGGACAGACATCCTTAGCATTATTTTTGTGCAGATGCACTACTTATTCAACTAAACATGCAGATGAACTAGTCCTCTATGAAATCAGGGCTCGACCAATCACAGATCGCCATGGCGAATAAAAAGTTTGTCCTGGTGTTTGTCAGCCCTTCAGTGGAGGCAAACGGCTACATGAGAATGCAGGTGGCGCGGGGGCAGTAATCTTTCTCTGTTTAGAGATGCTAGGAGTTGGAATATGAGGTCAGTGAGGCCCGGCATCACTAAACGGCTCATGAGGGAGAAAAGCCAGAAGAGCTTGTAGATTACAGCAGCCACACTGGAACCCAGGGAAAGGATCAACTCCGGCTCTCCCAAATGTAGTGGGGCTTGGTGGACTTAAAGTAAAAAGACATTTTCTCACATATTGACAAATTCAGTATCCATCTGTGTGTAAGTTGGCAACCCCCTACGATCGCATTGAAAAGTTGTGGGTTTTTTTTTTTTTTACGCCATGAGTGCAGACTCCCACTAGAGGTGTTACTAGACAGCAATGCAAACACTGCCTTTTCTATGGAGGGTGAAAGCACTATATTTGATCCTGTAACTTTCCAATAAACCTTTACATAGGGGGTACTCTTATAATAGTGAGACGTCTCTCTTAACATGTGTATTTTATTGCAGTAAAAGCGAACCGTATTATGACGATCACAGTTAAAATGTCATGCGGAGCTAAAAAAAAAACAATTTTTTCCAATTTGTTTCATTTTTCTAATTCGTTTTAAGTTATCTTTAATATGTAAATATTTGATGAAAGCCCTGCTTCTTCCGAACAAAATGACATAATTGTGAGTGTGCCTTATATATAAAATAGGTAAATTTTGGTTGTACAGACACCTAGCCCAAATTCTAGCGTTTTGATTCAGAACTTGTATACTTGCCTCCATCATTAAGGGGTTAAGCCGTGCACTATATTATGACTATTGTGGTGTAGACTTGGGTATGTTCTGTATGGTTGTGACACAGGAAAAACTGGCACTCTTTTTAGTGGCAAACTGCTGGGCAAAATTGGAGCCTTCAGACCTTGGCTGAATTTCATAGGAACTCGCTGATTAAGCACCTGGTTGCATAAAATGTCAGCATTGGGCCCATCCCCTCCTTCCTGTTTGTGAATCTTCCTCAATGTGCCATCTGTCATGTCAGACTTCTAAATGGAGTCAATAAAGAGATGGATATAGGTATATACGTAGAGATTTATTTATTTATATTTTAACCTTTTTTGCTTGATGATGGTGTTTCTCCTACAAATGGTGATTGCAATTGTTTTCCACATTAGATTATCTGATGGGTGCTGGCCGTAGTCTGCATTTAGTCAAACTGGGTGCTAGGTCTTTATTGCATTTATAAAGCAATGTATAACATTAGTGCAGCAAAATTCACCATTCACATTTTTGAGTTTTTATTTAGAGTGACCAAACATTCCAGTGTTTCTTTGATGGAAGCGGGTTTAAAAATGCAGCCTGATGAAAGTTTTTTACATATCGTTAGGTTCATAAATATTTGTGGTTTTTATATAAAAAATTTTTTAAAGGGACACTAGGCACCCAAACACGTCAGCTCATTGAAGTGGTCTTGGTGCAGTGTCCCAGGTCCCTTAATCCTGCAAAGGTAATTATTTCAGTTTTTGAAAAACTGCAATAATTATCTTTGAGTGTTCACTCCACCTCTAGTGACTGCCAGACAGTCACTAGAGGGATTTCCTGGTAGTTGGGTGACTTTTGGTTGCCTAATTGATGCTGGACGTCCTCGCGCTATGCATGAGAACATCCAGCATCATGTAAAACCCCATAGGAAAGCATTATACATGCTTTCCAATGAGGGACAATACTAATGAGTGCAACCATGGCCGTGCATGCTTATTGGGTCTTTCCAGCTGGTTGACATTTTAAATATTATTTCATTTGAGTGCTGTCTGGTATCGCTATTCAATTTTAATCCATACCTGTATATGTGATGTTCCAGGGATAAACCTGTTGCTTGTCCTAGATCTAAACCTTTAAATGTGAATCTATTGAGCATTGGACTGTGACTAAAGTACATTTATAAACAGAAAAATAGTAAAGTTCATATAACTGTAAGTCAGTGAATTTGTAAATAAAAGAATTGTGTGCAACCAGTGTTCTAAACATGGTCTTTAACTTTTAATTTTCTACCACAAAATCACTTTAACAGCCTCTTCAAGGTTGCTTTAGATAGGGAAACCTGAAAGTCTGGGTCATAAAGACCTTTCTAAAATCATGAACGAAAAAACACATTACGTTAACGTGGGCACAAATTTTTAATTTATTTTCCCCTTCAGACCTGCACATAACGCATAGCTTTTTTTTTTTTTTTCATGCAAATGTTGAAGTCCCTCTGTATTTTAATTGGATGGAAATGGGCGCACATTATGCCTGAAATATAAAAGAATGTTCTGAGTTTGAAAAATAAACCTTTGTTATTGGGTAAAGACAAGATCAGGGTAAAACTCCTTATGTCACTTTAGGCATACAATATTTACAGTAATTCTGTGGTGGCAATCATCCACTTGATCACTTTATACGTAGAAGGCTGCAGAGTCTCCCCTGTCTTCTGTTTTTCTTACGGGCTACTTGGATTATTTGAGTATTTTTCTTTTCTTTTAGACTAACAGGGATGCCAAAAGAAAAATATGACCCTCCTGATCCTCGCAGAATTTATACCATCATGTCAGCAGAGGAGGTGGCCAATGGAAAGAAGTCTCACTGGGATGAATTGGAGATTTCTGGTAAGTAAATAAATCTTAATTCAAAATGTCTAAATTACTTGAGATTAATATTGCTGCAACAACTTTCTAAATGTCGTGGTCTCAAACCAGCCAAACCTAAAGGGAAAGATAAAATCTCCCAAAAAATCTTGGTTAATCATATCTGCCATTCTTCTGTCTTTATTCATTCAAAGAAAATTTGACTTTTTCTGTAGGATTTGCGAATGGGATCTTGACTCCTGCAAAAGCTTAAAGCAACCCCAAATACATTTGCACACAAACCTGATTATAACACACTCTCTCTCAGAAGGGCTCGTGAGAACTTTAGTAGTCAGCCCTGCAGTTTCTAGTAAGCGTTTCAGACTGCCTTACCCTAAAAGCTGCAAGGTACACACTGGGTATTCAGTATAGTGATCACCACACCTATACCTGTTTTTATTTTCTTTATGCCAATTGCTATTATGTGTGTATATTTTATGTCACCAGGTCCATATGTTTCTTGTCAACTGTATGGACCATTAATTCAGTACTTGCCCCCTTCCCAAATTGAGGATTCAAAAGAAGATATTGGAGGGTAAGAGATGCAGTCTTTTGTGCACTTGCCCAGTTACACACTCGCAACGCAAAGGGTGTGGTATTTTCCTCCCCTTCATGTTTTTTTCCAACCTTTGTCCACTTGTTCTTCTCCTTTTTCATCTTTTGAAGTTTATTCCATTAATCTCTTTAGTCTTCTCTCAGCCAATGTTGCTGTTATCTAGCGCACTCCTTTACGCATCCTTACTTTGTCTCCTCTGACATTCCTTTCATTCTCGGTGACTTCAAGATACCTGTTAATCAGCCTAACAACTCAACAACATCTTGACTTCTATCTATCGCCTCCTTTAGCCATTCTCTGTGAAACAACTACTTTGCACACATAGCCGGTAATATGCTTGATCTAGTTTTCTCCAATATTTGCTCTGTCTCTAACACGCCTTTCCTTCTGTCTGACCACCATTTTCTAACCTGCACTGTCGATGTGCCTTCAGTCAACATACTAAATCTAGCTTACCTTGGGCTGTCCAAAAAAACCTAGCTCATTTTATCTACATCAGTTCTTTATTTCTCCCCCTTTATACTCCTTGCTACGTTCCTATACTTCTGCTTTTTCCCTTGCCAATCAAGATTAGTTAACCCCACTCATATCCACCTTCTGTCAGGATACCAAATGCCTCTTTCATACCTGTAACTTCCATTGCATTAACGAAGCTCACAGCTAGATTATGCATGTCACTTGACTGACCAGATAAACCAAACTAGGAATGCAGTCTCCCCGCTTTCCTCCTCGCATTCAATATGCCGCTGCCATTCTGTGTATCTTTCCATTTTAACTACTTTCCTTCTGTCTCTGAACTAAAGTTAGTTAAACTTGTACTTTCCACTTGCCCCACAACATGCCTTCTTGAGCACCATCGCCTTCTCTAATAGTTCAACCCGGCACAGTTCCTTCACTATTTTGCTAAATCGCCCATTACTCCTCCTTTTAAATTTTTTTTTTTTTCTATTCTCCTTCTCTTTTCCCCTTATTTCTCTTAGACCTTTCTGCTGCCTCTTATACGGTTGACCACTCTTCTTCAATCTCCACAACCTTGAACACTGTGACATTGTGCTTTCTTGGTTTTCATCCTCCTCCCCTCTGCCTGTTTCAGTTGGTGTTCCTCAATGCTCTGTTCTTTTATTTTCTATTTACACTGCCTCTCTTGACTCCTTTAAATATCGTTGGCATATAGATGGTATGGAAATCCAAATTTACCTCTCATTCTCTGACCTCTCTCCTGGTATACGTCTCAATCTCTGGATGTCTTACCTTTTTCTAAAACCTAATCTTTCTAAAACTGAACTCCACTCCCGAAACCCCCTTCCCCCTGTCCAATAGATGCCCCATTGACTTGCAGGATGATTGATGGAGTGCTATTTTCCCCAACCACTCATGCTCATTGCCTTGGTGTTTTTTTTAACTTGTCTTGCCTTTTCCACCTTAAAAATATTGCCTGCATTGGCCCCTTTTCAGCTCAGGACTCAATTAAGCCAATTGTTCACGCGCCCATCTTTTTCCGACTTGATTATTGCAACTCACTACTAATCGGTCTTCCACAAAAAAAGCCTTGCCCTTTTCAGTTTTAAATGAATGCTGCAGCCAGGGTCATCTTCCTGACTGAACGGTACTCCCATTCCTTGTTAATTACATTTGCTTCCTGTACATTTCAACATCCAATTCAAACGAACGCTATCCTACAAAGCTCTCACTTACACCACTCCTCACTAATTTCCTCTTTATTCATCTTCCTGGGTAACACTTCTCTGATTTTACTGTCCTCATTGATTCCCTTGACTCCATAGCCCAGCTCACTCACTCTCCTGCCACTGATCGGTTCTTCCACGCACCACTTTTACCAGTTTGTTTTCACACCGGAATCTTATCCATCAATTCTTGCCCCCTCTGACAAGCTGTTATTTGTCTTGTGTGTCTTAACCCATTCTGCATAGATTGTAAGCTTGCATGAGCAGGGCCTGCTTCCCCTCTTGTGTTAACTTCCATATGCAAATATCTTGTCAGAACTCTATTTTACAATTGTAAAGCACTTCAGAATATGTTGGAGCCATGTAAATAATTACATTTCCTTTTTGACATCTGAGAACTAGGATAGCTGGCTTATACCTGCAGTGAAATGTTTGTCCCTCCTATATTTGCAGGTTGCGCTCTGCACCATAATCTTTGTAGTGGTGAAATGTTATGGTTCGTATTGACCTTTTTCAATACCCTTAAAATAAGCATAACAATTACTATTTAGATTTTGTTGGCAAGGTATTTTCATTTAATTATTATTACTATTATTGCCATTTATATAGCGCCAACAGATTCCATAGCGCTTTACAATATTTTGAGAGGGGGGATGTAACAAATAGGACAATTACAAGAAAACTTACAGGAACAATAGGTTGAAGAGGACCCTGCTCAAACGAGCTTACAGACTATAGGAGGTGGGGTATTAGAAACATTAGGACAAGAAATATCAAGTAGGAGTGAAGCAGAGCTGGAGGAGAGAGCAAAGCACTGTCCCATAGAGAGCAGGAGACAGGTATGTAAGGTAGAGATTACTCTGGGAGGCCATAAGCTTTCCTGAAGAGATGGGTTTTAAGGCCCTTCTTAAATGATTGAAGACTAGGGGAGAGTCTGATGGCAGTAGGCAAGCTATTCCATAGGAGAGGAGCCGCCCGCGAGAGGTCCTGCAAGCGCGAGTTGGCCGTACGGGTGCGAGCAGCGGTCAGGAGGCGGTCACGGGCAATAGCGGAGGATACGAGGAGGGGCATATCTATGGATTAGTGAAGAGATATAAGTGGGGCTAGAATTGTTCAATGCTTTAAATGTATGGGTTAGCACTTTGAATTGACTGGCAGAGTGAGGTGGGAGAGGACCGACTAGAGAGGAAAATCAGTCTAGCTGCAGCATTCATTACAGACTGTAGCGGGGCAATACGGCTTTTGGGGAGACCAATCAGGAGAGGGTTACAGTAATCCATGCGGGAAATTACTAGAGCATGGACAAGCTCCTTGGTAGCATCTTGCGTAAGAAAGGGGTGAATTCGGGCTATGTTTTTGAGTTGGAAGGTGAGACCAGAGTAAAGTATGACGCCAAGACAGCGTGCTTGCAGGGATGGACTTATGTGGATATCACTGACTTGAAGGGAGAGCGAGAGAGGAGGATCAGTATTAGGAGGAGGAAAGACAAGGAGTTCGGTTTTAGAGAGGTTAAGTTTCAGAAAGCGTGAGGACATCCAGTCAGAGATGGAAGAAAGGCAAGCAGTGACACGTTCCAGGACGGCAGGGGAGAGGTCCGGGGAGGAGAGGTATATCTGAGTGTCATCAGTGTACAGGTGGTAGTGGAATCCAAAAGAGGCAATAAGTTTACCAAGAGAGGCAGTATAAAGAGAAAATAGAAGGGGACCAAGGACAGACCCTTGGGGAACTCCAACCGAGACAGGACGAGGGGAGGAGGTATCCTTGGAAAAGGACACTGGATGAGCGTTGGGAGAGATAGGAGGAAAACCAAGAGAGGACAGAGTCGCAGACCGAGCGATTGAAGAGTTTGAAGGAGAGCATGATCAACGGTGTCAAAGGCAGCAGAGAGGTCAAGGAGAATTAATATGGAGTAGTGACCTTTTGGATTTAGCGGAGATTAGGTCATTAGTCACTTTGATAAGAGCAGTCTCAGTAGAGTGGAGAGGGCGGAAGCCAGACTGAAGAGGGTCAAGGAGAGAGTTGGAATTAAGGAAGCGGGACACACGGGTAAAGACAAGTCTTTCCAAAAGCTTTGATGAGAAAGGGAGCAGGGATATGGGACGATAGTTAGAAGGGGAGGATGGGTCAAGAGATGTTTTTTTCAGGATAGGTATTACAGTGGCATGTTTAAGGTCAGCAGGAACAGTGCCAGAAGAGAGAGAGAGCAGTTAAAGATGTGTGTTAGGGTAGGCACAAGACAAGGGGAGAGAGATCTGATGAGGTGAGATGGGACAGGATCGAGCGGGCAAGTGGTGGGGCGAGAGGAATGGAGAAGCGCAGCCACCTCTTGTTCAGTAGCCGGGTAGAAAGTCTGGAGGGTAGGGAAAGCAAGATTTACATGTGGTTGAGAAAGAGAATGGCAAGGAGGGGAGAATTGTTTCCTTAGCTGTTCAATCTTGTCGGTAAAGTAGCATGCAAAGCTATCAGCTGTAAGGTTAGTTTGGGGGGTGGCCACAGCAGGGCGGAGAAGGGAATTAAAGGTGTCAGACGTCTGGAATTGCGGGAGCATGAACTAATGAGAGGAAAAGTATGACTGTTTGGCGAGGGCTGTGCTGTATGAAAGCAACATGAATCTATAATGGAGAAAGTCTGCCTGGGTGCGGGACTTCCTCCAGGAGCGTTCAGCACAACGGGAGCAAATCTGCAGATAGCGTGTTGATTTATTATGCCAAGGTTGGGGTCGTGTCCTCCTCGAGGTGCATGTTTGGAGCAGGGCTGCAGCGTTCAAGGCAGATGTGAGGGTAGTGTTATATGTGGAGATGGCCAGTGAGGGACAGGAGAGGGAAGGGATGGATAGCAGTTGTGAATCAATCTCAGCTGACAGCTGCTGGAGGTCAATAGAGTTAAGGTTCCTCCTGAGCTGAGGGGGTTAGGCTGAGATTGTTGGGTGAGGGGGTAATTGAGAGCAAACGATAAGAGGTGGTGATTAGAGAGAGGAAATGGAGTGTTGCAGATATTAGATATTGTACATGAATAAGAGAAAATAAGGTCGAGGGTATTGCCAGCTACATGAGTGGGAGAATTAGCCCACTGCAAAAGTCCAAGGGAGGAAGTGATTGAAAGTAGTTTAGAGGCTGCTGGGGTTAAAGGTGGGTTAATGGAATGATATAGGCACACAGACAGCTCAATCTTATTGAAGTGGTCTGGATGCAGTGTCTATGTTCCCCTAACCCTGTAATCTAAAACATTACAGTAGCAGAGATGTTTTATTTTGGAAGGCTAAGGCTACTTCTAGTGTCTACCAAACAGACACTAAAGGTGCTTTCTGCTGTTTCATGGAGTTCGTTTAGCGTCTTCAACTCTCCCGTTGAATCAATGCTTTCCTATGGGGGTGGCCTATTTGCTGCACAATTGCATCAGGTTCCTCCTCAGTACTAACATCTGAAGATACGGCGCCAGCTCCGAGGGAACTCTGCGCTGATATAAAGTGAGTGTAGAGTTTTTTTTTTTTTTGTGTGTATGTACACACACCTTTACATTGTTACAAAGGATGGGGAGGGAAGGAGTGTTGGATATTTGGTGTGCCTACCCTTAAACGCCATAAATCTGAACCAAAATATCTGAGGCTGCTGATTCATACATTGAGTTGCCACAATAGATTAGCCCTCATTTGGAAAGAAGTTATTCTTCTGTCATGCTTAACCCCTTAAGGACACATGACATGTGTGACATGTCATGATTCCTTTTTATTCCAGAAGTTTGGTCCTTAAGGGGTTAAAAATAAATCCTTGTTTTTAAATTAGTGGGGGAGGTGGTTATTTGGACTATACCTTTTTATTTTCCTCCATTGCAGAAATGTTAGTGCTATAGTATGAAGTCTAAAACACTGATCAATTTACTGAAAGGGCATGTGCTTTTTTTTCAAATGTAATCCAAAATGAATGATTCAATTCTTCCAGCAAATGTAAAGTGAATCTGTAAATTCCAATAGTCATGCATGTTTTTATTTTTATCTATTTATGCTCACATGGGAAGAGGTCTGTGAACAATCTTGCTAGATGGTGGGATTCTCCACAGGCAAACTTGCACAATGCAGGAGAAAGTACTACTTTTCAACAATTGCTGTGTCTGCAAGCTGATAGGAGAGACTCCGCTTTGTCAGCCTTTATATTGTCCACAACATAAAATAGTCCCTACTTTATGAAATATTTTGTTGCTCATATTGACATTTTCCTGAAATTCTAATGCAATCAAGACCTCACACGAAAAAGATTTTAAACTATATGAAATGCTTGGTGGCCAGGAATGTCAGTGCAGCTTTAATCGGTGTTGCTCGAGAAACTCAGTCTGGCCATTGCTGAAGGTGTTCTTTATTAAAGTTGTCAGTTTTTACATCTAAGCCATCTGGGGTGAAAACCAGCATTCATCTTAACATGTTAGGTGTTTGTCACCATTTGGACTGCATTTTAAATAGCTTTTGCTTTTCTTCAAGTTTTTGATTAATATAGATTTGATTTTATATTTTTTTTCAAATGGAGTTCTCCATGCATTCTGAATTCTTTTTGTTTTGACTTTTAGGTAGGGTGCGGAGCTTAAGTACATCACTCTGGACTTTGACACATCTTACAGTGCTCCACCTCAGTGATAATAACCTCTCTCGTATTCCACCTGATATTGCCAAGCTCCAAAATCTGGTTTATTTGGACCTTTCATCCAATAAGCTCAGAAGTTTACCAGCAGAGCTAGGGAACGTAGTGTCTCTCAGGTGAGTGGGATAAGCCATGTTTGGCAAAGTGGTGGCAAAAGTGTCCTTTGGAAACCTTTTTTGGGAAACTGGTGTTAAACACCACAATCTTCTTATTGCCTTACTGAGTGAAATGCCACCCATCTTTGTAAAAGCTAAAGCAAGAGTAGCTAGTAGCTAGCAACCCTCCATGTGTTTAACTATAGCACCCATTGTCCCATCTCTGCCTAGGGCATCATGGTGGCTCTAGTTAAATGGCTGGAGGACAACCTGTTAACCTATTTTCATAATTTATACTGCTGCCCTCTACCACATGGGTGGACAAAATTGGTAATGGATCACATTGCGAGATGTCTGGCTTTAGTTGCTCTGTACTTGCATATATCTTGTAAAAGGCAAATAAGCCGCTTTGATTCACCTGTTTTCTCAGCAGCTAGTCTTGGCGAATGTAATTTCTTAATCACTATTAAGAATGTTACATGTAAGGAATAGTTGGCCGTTCTCATCGGCTTCAGTGAGGATGACATTGTCCAGTTTAAAGGCAGCTGAGACATCGGGGAGGGCAGGGGTGTGGGAAGAAACTCTGACTGCTTAATTTAAATAAAAGTATTTATTTTATTTTTTGGTATGTTTATGATGTTGCTTTATGTTGACAAATGTTTTATTTATTTTTCATTGTCCAACAGGGAATTGCTTTTAAATAACAATCTGTTACGGGTTTTACCTTATGAACTGGGGCGACTGTTTAGGCTTCAGACCCTGGGGTTAAAAGGTAAGTCACTTACTGATTCAATAGCATTAGAACAGCAATATTAAACAAGTTACTTGGATTCTTCTGGGGAATTGTATACTTGTGGCATGCTTTTTCAAATGGTAAAATGCTTTGTTTTAGGGATAAATCCTCTGTAAGAAACTTTGAGCTGCAGTCTTCAAATTGCAGACTGTCCTGACTCTTTTTAGACTTGGGTTTAAATACAAAACACATTATTGCAACTGTTTTTGTGCAATGAGCCAATGCCTCCCAGCTCATGACTAAACACTTAAATGTGCATTTTTTTGTTTAATTCTTTTTGAGGATTCATCCCTTTTTATCATTTGAAATGTTTGGTGTCTGTTACCAAGGATGCTGAGAACCAGTATCTGCGCCATGCTATCCTAAAGTCGGTGAACACCGTTATCCCACAGATGCCCTATGTGTCACTTTATCTGGAGATAGTGGTGTGAGTGCATATTTGAAGATTGCCTGTGTGCATGAGAGTGGAGTTTGCTGTCAAGACTTGTGTTTTGGCAATGTGTTTGGTAACATAAGAGAGATTTCTGGCATGGCTTTAAAGATGTAGTACCCAGAATAGGTAACGGGGTTGTTTATATTCTAGCCCCCTTATAGTCTCAAGCAAGTTAAACAATGCTGTATCTCTGAAATGGCAGTGTTTAACATTGCAGGAGCAAAATATGCAGCACCGTACTAGGACTACTTGATTGAAATGAAGTGGACTGGGTGCTTAGTGTCCCTTTAAAGGAACACTATAGTCACCTAAACAACTTTAGCTTAATGAAGCAGTTTTAGTATACAGATCATGCTTCTCAGGTTTCACTGCTCAATTCACTGTCCTTTAGGAGTTAAATCACATTGTTTCTGTTTATACAGCCCTTGTCACTCCTCCCCTAACTCTGATTGACACAGCCTGCATGAAAAAAAAGGTTTCCCTTTCAGTCAGATGTAACTTACCTTAAACAATTGTATCTCTTTCTCTGTAAATTGAACTTTTAATCACATACAGGAGGCTCTTGCAGGGTCTAGCAAGCTATTAACATAGCAGGGGATAAGAAAATCTAACTTGAACAGTACTTGCACTAAAGGAATCATAAACGTTAGATGACTCTTTACAGGAAGTGTTTAGGAAGGCTGTGCAAGTCACATGCAGGGAGGTGTGCCTAGGGTTGCATAAACAAAGTGACTTAACTCCTAAATGGCAGAGAATTGAGCAGTGAGACTGCAGGGACATGATATATACACCAAAACTGCTTAATTAAGCTGAAGTTGTTTTGGTGACTATAATGTCCCTTTAATATTAGTTACAAGCAAACTGATCAGCATGTGAACTGCCATGGGCTAATAGGATCTTATTAGGTAGAAGGTTCACCAAGTATGGAACATTGTCCTGGTTTCACACTGGCATAAACAGCACTCAGAGTAGGAATGAGCTTTGTGTCTCATTTTTATACAATTTTCCTCTATGGCTCTATATGGGAGGCACAGTAGATGGGACCCCCATATTCATAGTAAATCCTAGGGTCCTTTGGCCCAAAAGTCTCTTCATACGTTTTTTTTTATATTTTTTTTTTTTTTTTTTGCTTGTACAATTTTTATATGTATCCACATTTCAGTGACTATTGTGTTCTTATTCTACAGGCAACCCTTTATCACAGGACATCCTTAGTCTATACCAAGAACCGGATGGGATCCGAAAGCTACTGAATTACATGCTTGACAATCTACAAGGTAGTCATCTGCAATATAGACAGGTTAACAGTAGCCATCTCTGTATAAGTAAAAATCTAGGTCAAGAGTGGGTAACCTTTGGCACTCGAAGTTTGACTCCCCTGATGTTTTGCCAGCTTTATGGTTGCAAGAGCATTATGGGAGATGTAGTCCACAACATCTGGAGTGCCAAAAGTTGCCTACCCATGATCAAGGTCATAAACAACTAATTGGGAGTTCTTTCTAAAGCGCAATTTTGAGGTAAAATTTTAAAGAATCCTGCCATGATATGATCACTAAATACACTCGTTGTCTCTTAACCCATTAACGCCATGGAACGCCCTGCATGTTTTGCTGTGAGCAGGGTAAAATCCATGCTTACACCAGGAATCCCAGGTATCAATAGCTACCTGGAGCTTCACTGTCTGTTGGGGCTGTTTTTAATGGCCTCAGACTGACAGGTCAGCAGCAAGCAGAGTTCAGTGATATCTGCATACAGTTCTTTTAATAGGGATTTAAATCTGCATAGAGCGCAATGTAATGTTATACCATGGTTAATTCCCTGCCCACACACGGAAAGTCTGGTATCCATAGATACCTCTGGTTCCCCTGTGTCAACTGGGGCCATTTTGTTGAGATGCATGCAGTGCTGAAAGTAAACACTGCATTATAGCTCTTAAAGTCCATCCACTGCAGTTGAGTGACTAAGCTCAGCGATTCTCTCACTGGACTTAGTGACTGGGAGACTCCCAGAGGGTCTTAACAGACCCTGAAGGGTCTCCCTCCTTGACCTAATGGCAGCTTGATCAGTGCTGGGCTTTGTCAGATACTCTGCACTGATGTCCATGCATTGGGCATACTATAATCAATAAAAGATGGTAATCTCACACTGAAAATAGTAAAGAGATGGCAGCAACATACCACTTTGTTTTAGCTTAAATTTCAGTTTGCTAATTTCAGTATGGATATTAACCGAGGGAAACCTTTTGGGATTTGGATTAAATAGGGGATTGGGTTCAAATTCTAAACCCATCTTGAATATAAACCTTATATTTATATTTATTCTGAAGATTGGAATTAAGTTTCAGATAAAAGTTTGGATTAGGGCCGGGAAGGGAATCCCTCTGCTTAAATCCACAAGGGAATTCCTCTGCTGACATTGACAGAAGGAATCCTTTTAACTGCATTTATTGGATTATGGTTATAAATATTAATATGGGTTGGGATCATGGTGAGGATTATAACATTTGGAAATTGGTTTAGAACTAGCATTTGTGTAAGGATTAAGGACTTGGACTGCAATTTAAGATTATGTTGCAGTGGTATTACAGATCATTTGTACTCAATGTTGAGTATGGTTAAAATACTTTTTATTACAGTGGGACACATAAGCTTAAAAATACAAAGTGGAAAATAAATACTACAAACTTTGGGGGTGGGAAAGGCACCTCAATATACGACATATGAGATACCCTGGAGTGTTTAACTTTATAAATGATCGGCCTTTGGGGCAATTTAGAACACCTTGCTAGAATGCCCAAAAAATGCGCCATAAGACCATCAAAACTCTCTCTCTCATTTTAACAAAAACTGAAATGGTATGGCAAAGACATACTTTGGAGGTACAGTACTCAGAATGCTGTTCTATCGGCTTAGTGCAGTTTAGTTACTAACTTATTACCATTCTGTGTTAATCAAAACAAACGACCGGCACCAAAACAACTTAATCTAAATGAAATTGTTATTGTGCCAGGAGGATCAGGTCAGGGATCTAACCATTTTTGAACGGTTTAACCCCGAAGTTGCCTCCAGCGCAGATCTTCACTGGCAGGGGTGCCGCTGATGGCATTCAGATGATTCAGCCAATCAGTGACGCCCCATTCACAAAACTGGCTTTGAAAAGGACTGTTGATTGGTGCTCGAGGCAACTTTGGGATTAAACTGTTCGAAATGGGCTTAACCCCATGAAGAATATGCCAGACGGTCTCCTGGCACCATAACTTAGATTCGGTCGTTATGGTGCCTTATGAGGCCTAAACTGTCCCTTTAAACCTCAATATACTGGCCGTTTTATCCTTAAGAAAAAGTTAGCAGTTTTCATACTTGCAGCATTTGTATGACGCAGTTTACCGTGGCACCGTCCCAGCGTAAGCTGTCAAACAGTTTATAAATGGTTTGACTCTTATCTGCCGGTTTGTGCCTTTTTGGTCCATTCTTTTCTGCCTTTATTTGTTCAAGTGGAAGTTTACACTTGAACATCAACTGACTGCTCTCAGACAATGAAATATGTTCAGGAAGTATGCACTTCCACTTTAACAAAGAGAGGCAGTATGGAAGGCTGCAGGCACCTGACAGATGGGTAAATGAGTTAACCCTGGTACAGATTCACTGCTGTGGCAATGGTGCTTAGTATCTCTCTTAAAAGTAGATCTGTAGAAGTAGGTATGAGCAACTAGAGATGAAGTCCTATTCCAGCGTTGTACATTTATAAATAATGCTACCTTGTTGAATTACCTTGACAATATAGTCTCTAGAACCACTATAGCTTAATGCACACTTGGTGCTCAGTCAGCAGGGACATACTAAACGCCTTATAACTCAATCATAAGAATGGTCAGGGACCTAAACGGCTACTCCAACACTATAATGGGTCAACTTCCCACTAAGCCAGTGGTGAGAAGGTCCCTAACTGATGTTCTACTCTACTTGCTGCAACATCACCATAACTGATGGTATGTCAGGCCACTGATTGCTTCTCATAGTAAAACGAATTGAGGCAGGGAGCGTGAGTCTCAAATGTTGCACCCAAAGTTTCAATGCTTTCTATGCTTCTCAGAAAGAGTGCACTTATCTGGCTTTTTGATAACTTGGTGGTTGCAACCATGTAACTTTATAAAAAGTGCTGAAGTCCTAAAATTGGTGCATTTGTGAAGTGGCACATACTGGGTGCTCGATTAACCCCTAAATTACAGCAAACTGAACTGCTTTAATGTTGTTGAGCATCCATCTAAAATATTTGCCTAAAAGGATAAATGAACTGCGTATCACACATGGTTTCCTCTATACAAAAATATGTTGGATATAATTTGAGTTGTATGACGGAAAAACTGTTGGTCATTTTGTTCTGTGTATATCATACAAATTAACATTTTTATTTTTTCCACAGTTCATCCAGAACAGCTGCCTCACAGGCCATGGATAACATTAAAAGAACGAGACCAAATTCTTCCCTCAGGTATCTGTCTCTTGTATTTTGAGAGCAGTGTTAAAGCATTCATCCAAGGTTGTTTTTTTTTTTTTTTTACAGTCTTAAAGCACTGTTTTTAGAGCAGGAGTTCTAATAAAGATAAGATTTTAAATGTACTTTGTTTTGTTTGTTTTTTGGTTCATTTAAAATTTTTGCTGTGGTGAGTTATTTACAATGAATCTGTAAATAACTTGCACAATTTAATTTTCCTCTTGGCTGCTATGGCACTTCATTTTCCAATATAATCTATTGGGATAAGTGTGTAATTTACCCTTGACCATGTAGAATTTAATTTTACATTTACATTACGTTAGCAGTTTTTTTTTTCAAACGTAACATGTAATCCTGTTGAGATTAGAGGACCTCAAAAAACCTCTTGAGTAGATTATGGCAATGAAAATAGCTACAGGGAGTGCAGAATTATTAGGCAAGTTGTATTTTTGAGGATTAATTTTATTATTGAACAACAACCATGTTCTCAATGAACCCAAAAAACTCATTAATATCAAAGCTGAATATTTTTGGAAGTAGTTTTTAGTTTGTTTTTAGTTATAGCTATGTTAGGGGGATATCTGTGTGTGCAGGTGACTATTACTGTGCATAATTATTAGGCAACTTAACAAAAAACAAATATATACCCATTTCAATTATTTATTATTACCAGTGAAACCAATATAACATCTCAACATTCACAAATATACATTTCTGACATTCAAAAACAAAACAAAAACAAATCAGTGACCAATATAGCCACCTTTCTTTGCAAGGACACTCAAAAGCCTGCCATCCATGGATTCTGTCAGTGTTTTGATCTGTTCACCATCAACATTGCGTGCAGCAGCAACCACAGCCTCCCAGACACTGTTCAGAGAGGTGTACTGTTTTCCCTCCTTGTAAATCTCACATTTGATGATGGACCACAGGTTCTCAATGGGGTTCAGATCAGGTGAACAAGGAGGCCATGTCATTAGATTTTCTTCTTTATACCCTTTCTTGCCAGCCACGCTGTGGAGTACTTGGACGCGTGTGATGGAGCATTGTCCTGCATGAAAATCATGTTTTTCTTGAAGGATGCAGACTTCTTCCTGTACCACTGCTTGAAGAAGGTGTCTTCCAGGAACTGGCAGTAGGACTGGGAGTTGAGCTTGACTCCATCCTCAACCCGAAAAGGCCCCACAAGCTCATCTTTGATGATACCAGCCCAAACCAGTACTCCACCTCCACCTTGCTGGCGTCTGAGTCGGACTGGAGCTCTCTGCCCTTTACCAATCCAGCCACGGGCCCATCCATCTGGCCCATCAAGACTCACTCTCATTTCATCAGTCCATAAAACCTTAGAAAAATCAGTCTTGAGATATTTCTTGGCCCAGTCTTGACGTTTCAGCTTGTGTGTCTTGTTCAGTGGTGGTCGTCTTTCAGCCTTTCTTACCTTGGCCATGTCTCTGAGTATTGCACACCTTGTGCTTTTGGGCACTCCAGTGATGTTGCAGCTCTGAAATATGGCCAAACTGGTGGCAAGTGGCATCGTGGCAGCTGCACGCTTGACTTTTCTCAGTTCATGGGCAGTTATTTTGCGCCTTGGTTTTTCCACACGCTTCTTGCGACCCTGTTGACTATTTTGAATGAAACGCTTGATTGTTCGATGATCACGCTTCAGAAGCTTTGCAATTTTAAGAGTGCTGCATCCCTCTGCAAGATATCTCACTATTTTTGACTTTTCTGAGCCTGTCAAGTCCTTCTTTTGACCCATTTTGCCAAAGGAAAGGAAGTTGCCTAATAATAATGCACACCTGATATAGGGTGTTGATGTCATTAGACCACACCCCTTCTCATTACAGAGATGCACATCACCTAATATGCTTAATTGGTAGTAGGCTTTCGAGCCTATACAGCTTGGAGTAAGACAACATGCATAAAGAGGATGATGTGGTCAAAATAATCATTTGCCTAATAATTCTGCACTCCCTGTAGCCACAATTTCCAGACCAGTTATCTAATGCATGTATAAAGGTAACTTTTATTTTTTTTATTTATATAGCTCCAACTTATTCTGCAGAGCTTTGCAATATTTTAAAGGTGTAAATTTAACACTAAATGAGTAATTACAATATTACAGGAACAATAGGTTGAGGACAATGCTCAATCGATCTTATAATCTAGAGGTGGGGTATAAAATCACAAGAAGGGGTTAGCAAATTGACAAAATAATGGCCTAACTAAAAGGTGATAGTGAAGTGTGGCCCATTAGAAGAACAGGTTTATAAAATAGAAGTTACTCTGGGAGGCCTTAAGCTTTTATGAAGAGGTGGGTTTTGAGACTTATTATATAATTGAAGACTGGGGGTAGGCAAGCTGTTCCAGAGGTAAGGTCTTGTAAGGGTGCGAGTAGCGGACAGGTAGTTTCATTTCTACACAAATTTGTTGTTATGCAAGAGGAGCATAGAGCTTTATAGCTAAAAGTTAGTAATTTGAATTGACTACTATAAGGCACAGGAAGCCAATGTAAGGCTTCACAAACTGGCGAGGTGAGAGGAGCAACATAAGGAAAATTTGCCTGACTAGATGGGCCGACTGGTTCTTATCTGCCGTCACATTCTATGTTTCTAAATCAGCCTGGCAGCAGCATTTATTCCACACTGTAGCGAGGCAGCTTGGCTTCTGGGGAGACCAAAAGGGGAGAGTTACAGTAATAAACTAGAGTAATTACTAGAGCATCTTGTGTGACAAAGGGGCAGATGTGGGCAATATTTTTAAGGGGGAATCGACAGACTATGGTAACAGACTGGATGTGAGTTGTAAAGGTGATCTCCAATTGGAGATATGGAGGGGGGGGGGGGAGAAGACATCAGCTGGAGGAACAGGAATTGTCTTGACCTCCACCAACTTTGGCAAAGTTGGGTTAGGTGAGGGGGCTCTCAAGAACAAAAGAGAGGTGATGGTCAGAGAGGAAATGGACTGTTACAAAGATTAGAAACTGCATGCATCTGAACAAAATAAATCCAAGGGTATTGCTACCTACATGTGTTGGAGATTGACCTTGCATTTTTTTTTTTTTTTTTAATTCTTTATTTTTGTTGTGCGGGAGGTTAGACATATCAACAGGCGCCACAACAGCGCATCTCAGGATTCACATAGATTAGACAGTGGCGTGATAATTCGCACCTTTTTTATAATTTGCACGCTTAACTAAACAGTCATTCCAACAGAGTGAGATTTAGCTAAAATAACTAGCATAAAGAAAAAACATCATGCATTTCTCGCTTTTTAGCGGGTCTCGTGCCGGGCGATCGGCCGCTTCCCCCAGGCTTTAGGCCGCATGGCCAGTTCGTGTGCTTATGTATCGTTGCGGTGCATGATAGGTACCGAATTTTTTTTTTTTTTTTTCTCATGTGGTTCTGTGTCGTTTTCAGGGCACCATGGGTTGTTGGCTTGGTAGGATTTACCAGGATTCTCGATTTTTGTGCCCTCCAGTGCAAGAGCTCTTAGAGAACACGACCGGCCATCTTGGCTTTCAGGCCCCGCCTCCCGACCTTGCATTCTTAACTGCTGTCTCGATCTACCAAATGCTCACATTATTCTTCTAGGTTTAGCAGTGTGGTCATGTTCAACAAGCCCATAGTATTCAGAGTAGTAGCCATCACTGGGCTACATTGGGTCATTCTGTGAATTAATGTGCTCAATAGAACAAAGACCTTACAAAAGTGTTTTTTTTTTTGTTTTTGTTTTTTGTGTAGAAACTGTATCCCACTGTTCTATGTACAAATATAGAAAGTATACTTCTTTGTTTGCATTAATTCTACATTTTAAAGTGATTTTTAAGCGGTCTGTAGTTCACAGTCCAGAAATGATATTCTAACCTGAGATTTACCGATCCATAAATTGAGAGCACTGTGTTGGACAAATGTGCAGTTTGTAGTTGTAGTGATGCTAAATAGGGTTGTATTTAATTGGAGTGTACAAATTCCCTCTGTAAAATGAAATGTTCATACTGGCCAGTGTGAATTTAGTTTTTTTTTTTGTTAATCCACTAGAGGGAGCTCTGGTACTGAAAGAGAAAGGCACTGACAAAAAAAAACCACTAAACGAACACTGCACAACTCTACTACGTAATATGAAACCGAATAAAAGTTAACATGGTTTTTAGACGCACTTATATAAACTCTTGCTTTGTGGAATGTGCATTCACTTACGGTATTGTACTTTAGGGCAGACCTTCTCAAATGGGGAAAATCTTACTTTAATAGTTGGGCAGCACAAACTGCTTCCAGGTGGAGGGTATGTAGAATTTTAGACTGCCACCATGATCCATTTTAGTATATGAATTTTACTTATTTTGTGTACTTGGCTGGATCTGTTGCATTATGGCAACCCCTGCCTGACTTCATAATTCACTAATGTGTGTATTTACCCTTTGTAAAGCACTACAGAAACTGCTGCACCTTTATTTAAAAAAAAGTAAATATGCCACACAGAGCATATTGCAAATTAATCAGCCTAAGAGTGCCAAGACTTGTGAATGTAATACTTCGTAGACTCGTGCAAAATAAATTTTGGCCAATTCGTCAGAGTGAAATCTTTTAATCCACACCTGTATGGATAATTTGCCCAGGATTTACCTGTGGCGTATTATTCAAGGAATATGACTCTACACATAAATGGGAACTCTTCGTTCTGGGTTGATTAAAAGCAATTTGACTTTGACGAGCTAGTTAAAATGAATAATACACAAGTCTAATATGTAGTTTTAATTGACCTATTGGGCTCCCTGAAAGGTAGCTCTAGTTTGGTACAGTGCTTAGATAACATGTAAATTATAAAGGCCAGCTATGTGTCAAGGAGAAATTGACCTATTTTGAGGGCTTCTGGCTTGGCTCTGTTTCTGTAGTACGGAGTAAAAGCGACCTATGTTGTTACTAGAGCAATGCATTAACTTTGTGATAATGTCTAGTTACAGTCTTTTCTCTTTCAGTTTCATTCACAGTTATGTGCTTCAATGTGCTGTGTGATAAATATGCTACTCGGCAGCTCTATGGCTACTGTCCCTCCTGGGCGTTAAGCTGGGAATACAGGAAGAAAGGAATAATGGATGAAATAGTCAGCTGTGATGCCGATATCATCAGTCTTCAGGTAAAGGTGCCAATCGAGGGAATTTCTTTTAATTTTTTCTTTAATATGGAAAACCTATCTGAAAAACAAACACCAGTAGTTTTTAAATCTATAATTCCTACTCAAACAAAGCAATAGAATGAGAATTAAGTTGGTTTGCTGGACCAGTGCTAAGCCACGTGGAATTCTGGATCAAACTTATTCTTAAATCTGGCATTGTATGTTACAGATGAGATGTTTTTGTGCAATCTAACCTTGACCTTCATTCCAACTTCAAAATCCAGCTTTCAATCTGCATCTTGCAACATACCTTGCACAAAGTAACTTCATCAGCTATTGGTCTCAGAAACCTGCTTAAAAATCTTGAAATGATCCTTGTGACATTGATTATTTCTTGCCAAACTGACTGCTAACCTGTCCTTTTAAAAATTTATTTATTTTTCTTGTGCCTTTAGGAAGTTGAAACCGAGCAATACTATGCCCTTTTCCTGCCAGAATTAAAGGGACGTGGATATGATGGTTTCTTTTCTCCAAAGTCACGTGCCAAAATAATGTCGGAACAAGAACGGAAGCACGTGGACGGTTGTGCAATATTCTTCAGGACAGATAAGTTAGTGTTTGGTCATACAGTCCCTTATTTGCCCTGTGTGGAATGCAACTTTATTTTTTTATTTTTTTTAAAGCTGATATGTAGACCATGCTTCCCCAAACTCTGGCCCTCCAGATGTTGCTTAACTAAAACTACCATGATTCTCAGCCTATTTATTTCATTCATAGAATCATGGGAGTTTTAGTTAAGAAACATCTGGAGGGTCGGAGTTTGGGGAAGCCTGATGTAGACCGTCCCTTATGCCATCTTATAAACCACAGCCAGTAAGCAACACACATTCAGATTTGTTCTAAAAAGCAGAAATGTTTCCATAGAAAAACAGATTTATTCGTGCCACAGCTAAATGGTTCTGATGCATAGATCCTGGCACTTGTGTTAATCAATGTAGAACATTGCATTGTTTACATTTTATCTAAACCCTCCTAATGGCTCTCAGCCAACAGGGGCACCTAAATTTCTGGGGGCTTCTTTATCATTCTTACACATCGCATGAGTGTACAGAATGTGTAGTGCCTTTATTTTATTTTTTTACTTTTCTAAATAAGCAGTGTATCTGAATGTACCAAAGTCATCAGACCAATCCAATAAATAACTTCATTGGAGCAGGATCATCTTTTTCCCAGTAATTTTAAACTTAAAAAGAACACCTCGTTAAAAATGTGATATACTTGTGTGTTTTTGTGGTTTTGGTTTTGTTTTTTCATGGGGGTGTCTTTTTTAAGGATCCAAAGATTCAATTTGTCCACAGGGCATATTGAAAGTTGAAAACCATTGAATTGCAATAAGATACAAGACCCTTAAGGCGCATAAATATGGCTATCAGGAACGGATTGCAAGGGTATATTTAAAAAAAAATTAATAAAATATATAAATAACTTAAAGGGACTCTCCAGTGCCAAGAAAACATTTGTTTTTCTGGCACTGCAGGACCCTACAGTGCCCCTCTCCCTCCCACCCCATCCCATGTTACTTACCAGAGTCCAGTGCCGCAGCGCTGGGTCAGGCTTCGCCTACTTTTCTCTCCCGGCGGTGGAGACCTAATGTGCCTGTGTGGGAATGGCTTTCCTGTGGGGATTTCAGCGACGTTGGAGGTACTTGCATAGCGTGAGGATGTCCAGTGTCGTTTTAAAACACGTCTCGTGTTCTAAGAACATGGAAGTCCCTCTAGTGGCTGTCTAATATTTGTGTCTAATAGACAGCCACTAGAGGAGGAGTTAACCCTGCAAGGTAATTATTGCAGTTTGTAAAAACTGCAATAATTACACTTGCAAGGTTAAGGGTGGTGGGAGTTGGCACCCAGACCACTCCAATGGGCGGAAGTGGTCTGGGTGCCTGGAGTGTCCCTTCAAAGGAACACAATGACATTAGGAATACAAATGTCCCAACACTATATTGCTGTTAATGGTTTTGGACCCTGGCCCTCAACTGCAAAGAGTAAGTGTGTTTTTTTTTTAAATATTCAAATTTATGTTATTTTATTGCCCTTTTCTCCCGAATAGCGCTGGTCTCCACTCTGCTGTCCTGCCCCTCTAGTTAAAACCATTGGGAGACTAGTGTGCATGCAGGCCAAAATGGAGATGAAGTGTTATGGAGGTGCCTATAGTGTCTCTTTAAAATAAAAAAAATGGAAAAAGTGATAGTATATATTCTAAAAATAAAGGTTATATTAGGATGGGGAATTTTTTTTAGTTTTATCTTTTACGTGTTGAGCCAGATAAGTTGGGATATTTATATTTATTTATTTAATTTTTTTTACCCTCCACTTTGCCATGTTTTCAGTTATTCGTTAAAGGGAAACTATAGTGCCCCATGGTGCAGAAGGGGTTAAAAAAACAAACCAAAAAAAAAAACTTCTTGTTTTACCTTGTTGCCTCGGCTCTGGGTCTGCCTTCACTTCCCCCGACATCCACTGGCAGGGGAGACCTAATGCACCAAGCTCACATTAGGAAAGCATTGAATGCTTTTACATCTAGCTGTTCTAAAGTGATTGGGCTTGACATCCTCATGCATAGCGTGAGTGTGACCGAAAGTCACATAACAACCCTGAAGTCCCTCTAGCAGTCTGGTAGAGGTGGAGTTAAACCCTAAAGGTAATTATCAATGAGCTGCTGTGGTCTGGGTGCCTATAGTGTCCCTTTAGGCTCTTTTTGCCTAAAAATTGTAGTTCACTTTGACTTTCTTATATTCCTGTCAATGTTTCTGTGATTGTATTTATTTTAAATATAAAAACACTTTGTGATATAAAAATGATGTATAACTTTTCTATCTGAAAATTTTATTTGTGTTGACTTGTGAACTACATCTCTTCTAATGGTTTGCCAGCATTATGGCTGTAAGAGTTCTATATTAAATATTTGTGATTGAATAGCTATTTTGACACATTTGTGTTGTAATTCAAATCTATTACTCACTGTGCTCTCTTTCTAGATTTACACTGGTGCAAAAGCACACAGTTGAATTTAACCAGGTAGCCATGGCGAATTCTGAAGGTTCTGAAGCCATGCTGAACAGGGTGATGACAAAGGACAACATAGGTGTCACAGTGTTGTTGGAAGTTCATAAAGAAGCATCTGGGGGAGGTGAGTATAAGGCAGTGTTTACATTTAAGTGCTTGTATGGACAGGGAGTAGACACCAGAACAACATTAACCCCTTAAGGACTGAGCCAAATGTACACGTTGTGATCAAAACAAAAACTTGAACTTGCGCTATGTCTGTTCATGCGTAATTCGCCTCTTTCATATTATGTGCACCCACACTTATATATCATTTTATTCAGGTTAAACAGGGCTTTCATTTAACATCACATATTTAGGTATGAAACATAATTTAATATGAATAAAATATTAAATGGGAGAAAATTAGACTTTTTAAATGTTTAGGTCTACGTGACTCTTTTTTTTTTTTTTTTTTGTAAATATATTTTTATTGGCATATTTCGTGTACAGAAAGAAAAAGGCATAGCATTGAGACTCGTAGGCCTCCGTTGTTGTCTTGCGGTGTGTTTACAGAGCAAATGCCAGCACATTGAGACTCGCAGGTCTCCATTAATTTAACCATGAATATAGAACTGTGTAAAATGACAAACGTGACAAACATGTTGACTGGTCCATTTCTGTGTCTTGCCCTTCCGCATTTACACTCTTTCTTATATATTTTTGTACAGTTGCATGTTCTGTTGGGCTCGTATGCCCGCGATTACGTCAGTCCCACAAGTCCCTTGTGAATGTTGCGTGTGTGTGTATGTCTCCGTTACTCGTGCCTGTTTGTGAGAGTGTCGCGTGACAGCCCGGGTCCTATGATCCGCCTCTCTCACCCCCTCCCCTCTTCGGGATGCCCTATTTAGTTGAGGTGGTCTCCTCGTCTATGTGACAGGGCCTCCCTTGTCTTTTTGTGTGTTTGTCGGGCCTTCTAGTGTCGTTTAGCCCCTGTTGCCGGAGGTAGACCTGCCCCTGTGTGGCTGTCTTCCCCTCTCCTCTCTGGGTTTGTAGCCTCCTGCAGCTAGCTATGTGGTGGTAGTTATGTCATGTTAGTAAATTCGGGGTCTGTTGTCTTCAGAATCCAATGTGTCCAAGTGTTAAGGTACACTTGGAATGTATCGTGAGCTTTGTGGTGGAGTTCCTCTAGTGATCTCAATTCTTCCATTTGCGTAAACCAAACTCTCACAGGGGGGGTGACCTGTGTTTTCCAATACTGTGGTATGATCATTTTGGCCGTGTTCAGTATGCGAATAGTAAGTGACCTCTTATAAGCTGTTCGAGGGGTTTTAGTGTGGTGTAAGAGCATGACTGCTGGGTCAAATGGGACTGGGTCGTCTGTAAACTTTGTCAGTATTTTGTGAATCTCAGACCAGAATGGGGCTATCTGTTTGCACGCCCACCAAATGTGTAAGAGTGTGCCTCTGCCCTCTCCGCATCTCCAGCACTGTGGGGGGGTGGGATGGAATTCGGGCATGTAGTGACTCAGGAGTGTGGTACCAGTGTGTCAGTAGTTTATATGCCGTTTCCTGTGTCTTGCTGTAGCTAGAGCAGTGATGCGTTAAATAGCAGATTTTCTCCCATTCCACTTTGTCAAAGGTCTGGCCCAGTGCCGCCTCCCACTTCCCCATGAACCGTGGTTGGGCAATTGGTGTGAGTGTTATTAGTAGGGTGTATAGTGCCGATACCCCATGTGCTAGTGGGTTGGGTTCCAGGCATAGATTCTCGAAGGGAGTGGTGGCCCTATGTAGTGCCGGTCCCTGCGGGAGGGATGTAATGTAACTCCGGATCTGTTTGTATTTGAGGCGTATTAGGAAAGTGTGTTCTTCGTTCCCCCTCAGATCCTTGAGTGTCTTTATGCCGTCAGTGGTTTGTATGTGTCTAAGTCTGGGTAGCGGGTCCTGTATTAGGTCTTTAAATGCGTTGGGGTCCATCCCCGGCATGAACTCAGGGTTGTGTGTCGGGGTATTAATGGTGACGGGTATGATGTTAGGCCATGTCTCCCTTTGGAGCGGTGCCACTCCCTTAAGGTTGCCCTCGTGTAGGGGGACTGAGACCCTTCCCCCGTCTGGGCCCCGGGTGGCAGCCACGGTAGGACTTCTACCGGGACGCCCGCCTCGTGTTCCTCCACTTGCTTCCACTGTTTTTGTGTTCCCGTTTTGGTCCATTCCATGATTCTCATGAGATGGCATGCTCTATAGTATAGGTTGAAGTCTGGCAGTGCCAGTCCCCCCCTGTCTTTTGGATGTGTGAGTAGTGTGTGGCGCAGCCTGGGCCGTTTCCCGTTCCAGACATATTTGATGAGGGCTGAGCGTAATGTGGTGAACGCTCTGGGGACCGTTATGGGTATGGTTTGGAACAAGTAGAGAAGGCGTGGTAGAAAGTTCATCTTCACTACTTGTATCCTGCCTAGCCAGGAGATATGTGGGTATGCCCACTCCTGCATCTCCAAGTGCATCTTCTCATGCATTACTGTGAAGTTTTCCTTATATAGATCCCCTTCCCATTTTGTTAGCCAGATGCCTAGGTATTTAATTTTATGTGTTGCCCATTGGAAGGAGTAGTGTTGGCGCATGTGTTCTGCTCTGCGTTCTGGGATGTTAATGTTAAGTATAAATGATTTGGAGAGGTTTATTTTAAAATTGGAGAGTCTGCCGAATTCCTGGAATGCCTTCAGTATATTGGGGAGAGAGATTTCTGGGTTGGTTACGTAAAACAAGTCATCAGCATATGCTGCTGTTTTGTGGTGTGTCGTTCCTGTTAGGGATCGACCGATATTGATTTTTCAGAGCCGATACCGATATTCTGTGAACTTTCAGGCCGATAGCCGATATAATTTGCCGATATTCTGTACATTTACCATTTTGGAAAATAAAAACTATTTCTAAAGGTAAATGCACAAAATAGACATGCCACGTGTAGTGGATGCAGTGTGACAGGGGAGCTGTGTGTGTTTGTGTAGTGTGTGTGTGGAGGATGCAATGTGTGTTTGTGTAGTGGATGCAGTGTGTATTTGTTTAGTGTGTGTAGTGGATGCAGTGTGTATTAGTGTAGTGTGTATATAATGAAAGCAGAGTGTTTGTGTAGTGTGTGGGTAGTGTGCGTAAAGTGAATGCTGTATATACTAAATGCAAAGTGTGTGTGTATATAATGAATGCAGAATGTGTGTGTATTTGTGTAGTGTGTGTATAGTGAATGTAGTGTGTTTATATAATGCAGAGTGTGTTTGTATAGTGTGTGTATATAATGCAGTGTGTTTGTGTAGTGTGCATTATATAAACACACTACACAAACACACAGCATTATATACAAACACTGCATTATATACACACACTACACATACACACTTCACAAACACACACTGCACAAACACACTACATACACACCGAATTATATAAACACACTACACAACCACACTGCATTATATACCCACACTACACAAACACACACTGCATTATATACCCACACTACACAAACACACACTGCATTATATACCCACACTACACAAACACACACTGCATTATATACCCACACCCACACTGAACAAACACACACTGCATTATATACACAGTGTGTTTGTGTAGTGTATGTGTATATAATGCAGTGTGTGAGGGGGCATTTTTTATTAAATTATTTAAAAAAAATTATATTTACTTTATTATTTATTTTTGTTGTCCCCCCTCCCTGCTTGTTACCTGGCCAGGGAGGGGGGATATGACAGTCCCTGGTGGTCCAGTGGCATTGGCTGAGCTGGGGGGGGCGGAGACCAAGTGCTTACTCACCTCCCAGCAGCTCCTCCAGCTCCCCAGTGCAACTCTCGCGGCCAGCGTGTCGCGCGGAGCGTTGCCATGGTGATCCATGGCAACGCTCTGACGGCCGCTGGTCTCGCGAGAGTTGCACTGGGGAGCTGGAGGAGCTGCTGGGAGGTGAGTAAGCGCTTGCTCTCCGCCCCCCCAGGACCGCCGGGCTTGTAATGAGCCCGGCGGTCCCAGGAGGTATTATCGGCAATATCGGTATCTGAATTGGCCGATACCGATATTGCCGAGAATACCGAATATCGGCCGATTATATCGGTAAAACCGATAATCGGTCGATCCCTAGTTCCTGTCTGCAACCCCGTGATGTCCGTGTTGTTCCTAATGGCCACCAGCAGGGGCTCCAGAGCTAGGATGAAGAGGATCGGGGACAAGGGGCAACCCTGGCGCGTGCCGTTCCGTATGTCGAACGGCTCTGTCAGGGCTCCATTAACTACCACCTGCGCGGAAGGTTGCTGGTATAGCGCCTCTATCCATCCCCTGACACCTGGGCCCAGCCCGAGGTGGGTCAGGGTCTGGAAGAGATATTTCCATCCCACCCTGTCGAAGGCCTTCTCCGCATCCGTGGATAGCAGGAGAAGGCCTTCCCTGGCCCGCCTTTTCCCGTGTATCAGTGTGAGGGTGCGTATTGTGTTGTCACGTGCCTCCCTCCCCATCACAAATCCCACCTGGTCAGGGTGCACCAGGTTGGGCACATGCATCTGCAGTCTGGTCGCCAGGATTTTGGCTAATAGTTTTAAGTCGTTATTTATGAGCGAGATGGGGCGGTAACTTCCGCATCGCTCCCTATCCCTGCCCTCCTTAGGGAGTACCGTGATGTGCGCTGCCTGGGATTGCCTAGGGAAGTGGTGTCCCTCTTTGATAGCGTTGAATGTCAGTGTGAGTGGGGTGTATAGGATGTCTGCGTACGCCTTGTAATAACAGAGCGGCAGGCCGTCTGGGCCCGGGCTTCTGCCGGGTTTTGTTTGTTTCACGGCTGCTGCTATTTCCTCCTGTGTTATCTCCCAGTCTAGGGACTCAGCAGTGTCCCTGTCTAGGGTGGGCATCGAGTGTGCGGTCAGATATTCTGCAATGGAGTCTGTTAGGCGTAAGTCCGCCCGGTGGTCCTGTGGCCTTGGGAGAGCGTATAGGTTTTCATAGTACGCCCGTATGACTTCCTGTATCTTCCGGGGTAGTCTGTGTAGTGTATTTGTGTCGTCCCTAATCCTGTCAATGTATGTCTGTTGCCGACGTTTGGTCAGCATGCGTGCCAGCAGCCTGCCACTCTTATTGCCATGTAAGGCAAAAAACGCCTTGTGTCGCAACGCGTCTCGGTGGTACCTGGACTGGAGTATTTTAGTGAGTTCCCTTCGCAATGTGAGCAGTTGTCCTTGCAGTTCAGGTGTCTGTTTATTTTTGTTAAGTGTGTCTAGCTCCCGTATTTTCGTCAGTGTGTTGTTCATGGCCGCTTCCCTCTGTTTTTTCATGGTAGCGCTCTTTTGGAGGAAATGACCTCTGATCACGCTCTTATGTGCCTCCCACATGATGGTTGGGGAGGTGTGGTCTGGTGTGTTTATGGCGAAGTATTCTCGGAGAATTGCTCCGATGTCATTTTTAACCTCCGGTACTGAGAGGAGGTATTCGTTTAGGCGCCACTTGGCCACTTTAGGTCTGTAGAGTGGGGACATTAGCTTGAGGGTTACGGGGGCGTGGTCTGACCATGTTGCTGTGCCATGTTCCACCTGTGTGACTAGTGGTAGGTGATGATGTGTGAGTAGGAAGTAATCTATTCTGGTATATGTGTTGTGTGGATGTGAGAAGTACGTATAATCCCTCTCATCCGGGTGGTGTGCTCTCCAGCTATCTACCAATTTGTATTTGGATATGAGAGTTTTGAGTGCGGTCAAGTGTTGTGTTGGGATATGTGATCTACCTGTGGATGAGTCTCATTTCGGGTCCAATGCTAAGTTAAGGTCCCCTCCGAACTCCTGTACCCTGCGAAGGATTCCTGACAGGAATCTATAGTGTCGTTGGTTGGGAGCATATATATTGGCAAATGTATACATTTGTCCCGCTATCGTGCCTTTGACAAGGACGTATCTGCCTTCCCGGTCTGTCTGTAGTCCCTGCTCCTGAAAGGGTGTTCCCCTATGAATTAGGATCGCCGTTCCCCGTGTCTTCACTCCCCCTGGTAATCACTATAATATCCTATGGGATAGTGATGGTTTTGTAACTTCGGCCTTGCCCCTTCCCTAAAGTGTGTCTCTTGGATATATACAATGGAGGCCCCTGTAGCGTGAAATTCTTTGAGGGCTGACGACCGCTTTTCGGGTTTGTTTAGACCCCTTGCGTTTATGGTGACTATAGTGAGGTTAGCTGGTATTAGCGTCATATTTTGAGGGGTGTCTGCAGGTCCCAGACCCGGGCTGTCCCGCGATTGGGGCTGTGGTCTAGTGTGAGTGTGTATACGGATGTGTCCGTGTGTATCCTCCGCGCGTGCAGCGTTAAGGTATCCGCGTCTGGGCAGCCGGGTAGGCCGCTCTTAACTTTGGCGCTCAACCCTTATGGGGGTGGAGGGAATACCCAGGCCCTTGGTCTGGTCTATTCGTGTGTGAGTGACTTACGTCTGACGTCTCGCCCTGCGTGGCTCCGCTTGTGAATGTGCATTTAATGTGCAACTTCGCCTAGAACATGTGTGGCATCTTTACTGCTGTGGAAACTTGGTTGGTGCAACCGTGTTTTCAACTGTAAATCAACTTCCCGGTGAAAGAGAAAAACACCCACCCCCCCCAAACCTATATACATGTGCAAGCGAACCCAGTTGGTTATCCCATGCCTCATGGCATGGTTCCCTTACTGCCATCCCCCTTGGTGCTGAGTGGGAAGCAGCCGTCCGGCCATCCCCCTTGAGTGCATGGAGCCCTACGTGGCTTCCCTCCCAGGACCTGCTCATTTTGCCTCCCTACCCGGGGTGTCATCCCGGTGTTTGTGTGTGTGTGTGTGTGTGTGTGTGTGTGGTTGTCTTGTCCCCCTGTTACCCAGTCCCTTCCTGCGCCTGTGTTCTCTGTCTCCTCCTCCTCCTCCTCCTGGATGTCTGGGCGAGACGGATCGCCGTGCCCCCACCTGCTCCAAGTGTGGTCATCACAGGTTTATCAAGGGGAGCACGGAGGTCCGTGTCGACCGTCCTCCATCCATCCACAAGTACCCCTCCCCCGCAGTTACTCTGAACCTTCCTGATGCCTCCCCCCCCTCCCCCCCCGATCAACATTTTGCATGTCCTGCTAGGTGAGCTTTGGTATGGTTAGTCCCTCGGGCCGGGTAAACCCCCGGGTAATATACTTGCGTGTGCTCCGTGGGCTTATGCTAATGTTAGTCCTTTCTTTCCTGGAACGGGCTCCCCGAAATGTTCTTTAGTGGGACTCTTGGGGGCTTGGCTGGGGGTGCAACATTTCCTGCCCTCTGGTCAGAGTCCTCTCGGGCCTGTCGCCTGTTTGCGGGTGGTCTGCGGGAGCTGGGTGTCCGCCGTGCAAGTCTCCGGTCCAGGGGCCGGAGTGTATAGAGCCAGAGGATCTGGCCACTGCAGTGGAGCCGGTGTGATGTGCAGCTCCCTCCCGAGGGCGGTCATGTCGGCCTCTGTCTTCACTAGAAAGGAGCGTTTGTGTGTGTGTACCAGCAGCCCTGTCGGGAAGCACCAACGGTATTTGACTCTGTTCGTCTGTAGCTGTCTGGTGAACGGGCGCAGTGCCCTACGGTACGCCAGGGTGGCGGGGGAGAGGTCCGGGTACAGTTGGATCTCTGCCGAACCCAGGTACACCCTACCCTCCTCTCTGGCCTTCCTCAGGATGTCTTCCTTCTGCTGGAAATTTGCCAAGCAGCATATGGCATCTCTTGGTTGGCTTCCCGGGGGGCCTTTCGGTCTGAGGGCCCGGTGTGCTCTCACCATCTCCAGGGGTTCCCGTGGTGTGCGGCCCAGCAGCTGATTGAAGACTGTTTGTAAGGTAGCTTGGATTGGGGCGTCGTCGTCTACTTCCTCTGGGATCCCCCGGTCCCTGATGTTCTGCCTCCTCCCCCTGTTATCGAGGTCCTCTAGGTGTTGTGCCATTTGTTGCATCTGCTGGGTGGCCCGCATCAGGATCCCGGTGTTGGCGGACTGAGCCGCTTGCACGTGGTCATGATTTGCCTCCAGTTGGGAGATCCTCTGGCTTAGGCCGCAGCATTCTTCCCGCATGGCTTGGCGTTCCTCCGTGATGGAGGCGCGGAGGCTGTTGTTTGCCTCCAGCAGGTCAGTTTTAGTGGGCAGATTTCGGAGCATGTGCATTAGATCCGGGTGGGAGTCGGTGGGGTACAGTATAGGCGTCTCGGCCAGGGACTCTTCCCCACACAGTGAAGGCGACGCTCCCCCTCCCGAGGCCATCGGCTCTTCTAAGGCCTGTGTCTCCCTGTCCGCCGGTGTCGCTAGGAAGCGCCTCATGGATGGAGTTGCGCTCCCCCTCGGGGTGTTTGTTGGCTTTGGGGCTTGTGATGCCCGTTGTGATTTGCCCATTTTCGGGGCAATTAGGTGCGCTAGGCGGTGGGGTGCTTGGAGCCTTACAGGGAGCTCAGACTTCATGCCGCCATCTTCCTCGGCTTCCAAGCCACGCCCCCCTACGTGACATTTTTAACTGTCATACTGTTTACTTTTACTCAAATAAAATACACATTTGTATTCAGCAATGTCTCACGTCTAAAACGGTAACCCCTATGTACAGGTTTTATGAAGTTACAGGGTCAAATTTAGCATGTTACATTTTTCAGTTTTTTTCACACTGAAATTCGCCTGTTTGGTTACGTTGCCTTTGAGACCGTATGGTAGCCCAGGAATGAGAATTACCCCCATGATACCATACCATACCCAAGGTATTGCAAATGGGGTATGTCCAGACCTTTTTTTAGTAGCCACTTAGTCACAAACACGGGCCAAAATTTAGTGTTAATATTTGTTTGTGTGAAAAATGCAAAAACCGTTAAAGTTGAATGCCAATTTTGGCCAGTGTTTGTGACTAAGTGGCTACTAAAAAATACTGGACATACCCCATTTGCAATACCTTGGGTTGTCTACTATTGCAAATGGTATGCCATCATAGGGGTAATTTTCATTCCTGGGCTACCATACGGTCTCAAAGGCAACATAACCAACCTGGTGAATTTCAATTTGAAAAAACTGAAACGCAAGCCTTATATTTGACTATTTGAAAACACCATAAAACATGTACATGAGGGGTAGTGTTATACTCTGGAGACTTCGCTGAACACAAATTAGGGTTTTCAAAACCATAAAACATATCAGAATAATTATATAGTCAGTGTAAGTGCCATTTGTGTGCGAAAAATGCAAATAAAGTCACTTTCACTGACTATATCATAGTTGTAATAAATTTTACTGTTTTGAAACACTATTTGTGTTCAGTGAAGTCTTCCAAGTAAAACCATAACCCCCATGTACAGGTTTTATTGTGTCTTGGAAAGTTACAGGGTTAAATATAGTGCCAGCAAATGAAATTCCCTGGGTTGTCAGGCAGGTCCCGCAAATTGTAATTAATAAATGACCTAACTATGTAAAATTATTACATAAATATATACGTAGAATTTTTTTTATTACATTTTTATTTATATAGTGATATATACGTGTGTATATATATTTCGTTCTACATGTATTTTGATATCAATATACAGTATATACTAGAGTATAAGTCTAGTTTTTCAGCACATTTTTTGTGCTTAAAAACCCCCACTCGACTTATACTCGAGTCACTGTCTGTATTATGGCAACTTAGAGAGCCGCGGCCATCAGAGCCATGGCAACGATCCGCGCGGCAACAAGACCGCGAGACTTACAGTGTAGCTGACCGGAACGGAGGAGAAGGGAGCTGACAGGAGCTGCAGGAAAGGTAAGTAAATGCCTCCTGCCATCCCCCCCACTTCACAGCCCATGCCACTGGGCCACCAGGGATTAAGATAGCCCACCTCCCTGACCAGTTAACAAGCAGGGAGGGGGGTACAATTTTTTTTTTTTTTTAAATAATAAAAAAAAATAATATAAAAAAATAAAATAAAAAAAAATTAAATAATAAAAATGCCCTCCCCCCACCCAGTTCACACACACTACACAAACACACACTCTGCATTATATACACAGAGTGTGTTTGTATGAGTGTGTGTTTGTATGAGTGTGTGTTTGTATGAGTGTGTTTGTATGAGTGTGTGTTTGTATGAGTGTGTGTTTGTATGAGTGTGTGTATATAATGCAGAGTGTGTGTTTGTATGAGTGTGTGTGTTTGTATGAGTGTGTGTTTGTATGAGTGTGTGTATATAATGCAGAGTGTGTGTTTGTATGAGTGTGTGTGTGTGTGTGTGTGTGTGTGTATATAATTATAAAAATAACAGAATTTCATAGCCCCAAGTTTTACCCTCGACTTATCCACGAGGCATAGCATATTTCACAATTGTTGGTCACAAAACTGCACTCGACTTATACATGAGATCGACTTATACACGAGTATATACGGTAGTTAGAATGATATTGATTAAATGTAAATTCATTCTATGTGTATTTTGATATTAATATATTATTAAAATACACTTAGACTGTGTGTGTATATATTTATTAAACGTTAACATTTATTTTACTATTTACAGGCAGCAGGGGGAGTACCTGTCATTACAGGCACTCCCCATGCTGGCATTGCTATGGACGGCTATACCGTCCATGTGATCGCGAGGTCCTCGCAATCACATGGCCCAGGGGGGCCGGAAAGGGACTGCCAGGTGAGCCCAGCACCGCAGTCGCCGGCGACCGGATAAGTACATAGGACGGCTTGGGCATTCTATGACGCCTGCCGGCGTTAGGAGCCTGGTTCCCCAGGACTGCATAGAACGCCTACCGTCCTTAAAGGGTTAAGCCGTAGTTGTTCTGGTGACTATAGTGTCCCTTTAAGTGTTGACCAGTCTACCAAATCTAGCACAAGGTAGATTTCAAAACTTCTACACCACTGTTGTGTAAATTAAAAAAAAAAAAAACATGCTATTCAGTTACGATCACAATTGCTTTTTCTCAGTAAATGACATGCATAAAATTCCTAAGTAAAAAGTTGCATTGGCTCTACTGGACAGTCATACACTTGTGAGAATTTACTAGTAAATTTCATAAGCAGTGACATTCCTAGCTTTGAACAGTATTGGCTGCACCTAGATTCCTAGCCTGGAATTTTTTATTTTTTTTGTTCTTCTAGTGTGTGTGTGTCTATATGATCCATCCCTTTATGTGGTATTACTGTTTGTACTTTAGGAATGAAACCACATCATGCAGGTGAAAAGCAGCTTCTGATGGTAGCAAATGCCCATATGCACTGGGACCCAGAGTACTCTGACGTTAAGCTTATCCAGACCATGATGTTTGTCTCTGAATTGAAAAGCATTATTGAAAAGGCAGCAATTAGGCCTGGAAGTCCAACTCCTGACCCAAGCTCTATACCCTTTGTGTTGTGTGCTGATCTCAACTCATTGCCAGATTCAGGTAAATAGAGGAGTTTTAGGTTACAAAAACCTTTTCCCAATATCACACCTGTGATTTATCTTGCTGCTATGCCATATTGAATTATTTTTGTGCATTTTTCCAAATATGTAACCCTCATAAATGTCACGATTTTATTTTATTTGCAAATGGTCTCCTGCAAGGGGTAACAGGTTACTGATGCTTGAACAAATTTTCTCTCAAACTCTAATCGGAAGCCGCACTTCCTCTTCTGCATTAGGTGTGGTGGAATATCTGACTAATGGGGTTGTAGCAGATAATCACAAAGACTTTAAGGAGCTGCGCTACAATGAGTGTCTCACAAACTTCAGCTGCAATGGGAAGAATGGGACCCCGGATGGAAGAATTACACACGGCTTCCAGCTGAGGAGCGCCTATGAAAACAACTTAATGCCTTACACCAATTACACCTTTGATTTCAAAGTAAGATGTAAACAAGTGACTTTTGCCCAATTTGGACAGAAATAGCCGGATTAAATCTCCACATCGGTTCTGGTGACAAATTGGCTATTTTTATCTAAATTGTCCAACATAATTTCTAGTTCACTAAGATACTGACTAGTGAATAAACTCCCCTTTCGCATGTATATCTTCCTGTGGGATTGCCATAAGACCAATTTTTTTTTTTTTTTCATAACACATTTTCTGATGTAAATCTCAGAAGTGACTCCTTAATGTAGAAACCTAGAATCTGAATTATGGCTTAAGTTTTCTAGAAATGCTACAAATCCAAGATCAAAGTCCATAGGAGGATAGGAATAACCTTATAACGTTTTTTAAGAATCTATATACTGATAGATGTATATGTGTGTATGTATGAGAAAATCAATCTTTATTTTTTTGTGTTTTATTATTTTTATTACACATGACCATCTGGGTCATTCGTTTTTAAATAGTCTGGATTTTATGGAAATTTTTTAAACTTGATTTAGATATGAATAATGTTGCAACTTTTAAAAGCTTTTCTCTTTACTTTCCCTCACTTATTTTTTTTATTTTTGTTTCTTCAGGGTGTTATTGACTACATCTTCTATTCCAAGACACACATGGACGTGCTTGGTGTCCTTGGGCCTTTAGATCCTCAGTGGATGGCGGAGAACAACATAGCCGGCTGCCCCCATCCCCATATCCCTTCTGACCACTTCTCACTGTTAACGCAGCTGGAACTCCACCCTCCACTTCTGCCTCTTATCAATGGGGTTCACTTGCCAAGCAGGAGGTAGTGTCGGCTTATGGCTGGGCACTTGTTCTCATGGACCTGTACAGCTGTAAAAGCAAGTCTGTAGGAGTGAAGTATGCCAACGTTAAGCTGCTTTTTCACGGCTCCCCTTATGTCAGTGCCGTGATTCTGCGTCTTGATGCAGGGAGGCATTTTGTGGCATTAGAGCTGGTACAAAAGGGGTTCTCCCAACTTTTTTTTTTTCTCTCTTCTCTTTTTAAGGATGCTTACTTTTTATTTTCATCATGCCTGCATTTTTGTTCCTTCACATGTATGAGATTTCTATTTGTACATTTATAAGACCAGATAGAAAAGTAATCCCAGAACTACCTTTTTGTATGTGTGCGCACATTACATTAATTTGTCTCCATATTAATTTATGGACCTCTGCCCAGTTCTTAACTGCCCCTTAATGTCTCAAAACTGTCACCTAAATTTAGAAACTATAAAAAAATTGAGTTTTTTTGTTTTTTGTTTTTTTTAATTGATTTTACCCTGCTATTTAAAGAATAAATTAACTTTGGTCCAGAGGTTTTGCACAATTAGGCATGTTTATGGCAATTTTTGCATATTACCTCTGCCACCTTTTTAATTACTGAACTCCTGAATGTATGGGGGGAAAGGGGTTTGTGTTGGATAAATACACCTTTAGTCTTTACGTACTGTTGGATGACCACTAGTCTTTTACCTTGTGTGACCATTTTCATTTACCATGACTATCAGATTACAAAAGGATCCCAAAGCATTTTGTATGTTGGTAGCTTATTTTACTTGATCCTGGAAGGTGTGAAAACAGATTTATACATCCTTAGATTTGTTGACTGCTACTTGTCTTTCATCCCGCCTTTTCAAGTTGAATGTCAGTCTTGTAAGTGGGCAATAATCAGATTCCTGTTGCTAGACAATTTTCCTTAAATAGGTATTTTTTTTTTTTTTTTTATATATATATATAATAAAAGGAGTACAGCTAGTTTTGGTGAAAGTGGTATTTGGTCCGAAGACTTTCACTGCATAACTCTTAAACATCCGGTAGAACGTTCTGGCAGGGATGAATAAGTGGCAAAAACTTACAACCAAAGAATCTATATCTTCTGATCTGCATGCAATGGGTTAGTTCCACAACAATTTATTTATTTATTTTTTCTCCTGAGAAGACCTTTTTGTTGGATCTCTTCAGAACCAGATGGCTAGTGTTTAAATTATCACCCACATGACATATGTTTACATGTTTTGTGTACTATGACCATTTTTTTTTTCATTTTCATGGGCAACGTAAAACCTATTTGACTGGATCGTTGAGCATCTTCTTTAGAAATTGTATGGCAATGGTCTTAATGTGTGGATTTTTAAAACTCCTCCATAGCTAGAGGTTAAAATAGATCCATTTTCTACTGTTTAACAATCTAGTGGATTTTTGGGGAAGGCGGAGGTGTTTTCATATATTTTGGGTTAGCATACAGAGAAGTGGTGATGTTCATGTAGAACTTTATACTTGCCCAATGGGTATTGTTGCACTGACTCACAAGGTTATGAAGGGGTTTGATAGCTTTGCAGGGATATCCTTTTCACAATTGGTAGGGCAGTATTGCACAGATTTGAGGGGCCACTTAGCTGCAACTCGTTGTTTGTTTTGTTTTTGCTGCTACTTTTTATGAAATCGGATTTTTAGATATAACATTTCTCTATGCACTTTATTGCTTCATGCCTCACCATATGATCACCTTCAGTGAGTTTTTAGAAAAATAGGCCCTTATACCTACCACTGCCATATTTCAGATGTAGTTTAAAGCTGGTAAGAACCTTTTTATCTGCATGTTGGAGCCAACTAGATCGTAAGCAAATGTAATGTTGCTGTTTTTCCTTAGGGCACGACCTTGTTTGCTTCTAGCTTACGAAAATATCCAAATATGGTTGGTTTTGGCTGTAGCAGTTGGTTTTTGTGCAGATTAAACCCTGTATAAAGACTACTAAATATTGGGCATCTGAGTATACGATGTCTCTTAAATTCCTTAAGTGCCTCGGTGGAAGTTGATGTTGAATGCAGGGAATTTATGTATTTGAACTAATCTGTGTTCTACTATTCTGTTTAACATTTACCAAAACCTCTCAGTAGGTTACAATCATCTTGTTTATTTCAGAGCTTGTTTTGATTTTGCTACCCCCATCTCTAGTTTGGTGTTCAAGGACAAGGTTATGTGTTAAAAATAACTAACCCGGGATGCTACAGTACAAAAATTTATAATGAACCCCTTAATTTGTTGAGGTTAACCACATCTCAGGTATTGTGTATAATCCATAGTTTTTTATTTTTCCCCTTTGTCCTCCCTCCACACACAAACAGAATAACCAAATCAACTTGAGAACACAAAGATGGCTGAAACTCTTATCCTAGGTTTTCGAGAGACCCCTAAATTTTACAGTAGTGAAGATTTTTCTTCTCACTGAATTACAAGCAGTGTGTACGTAAATAGCCAGGTCCATTAAAGGGAGCACCAAATAATTTTTTCCAGCAGATAATGGTTGAAAAGCCAAGTGATTCATCCAATCAAATCCTATTATAGGGCAAAATAAATAGGTGTGTATTTTCCCTTCTTTAAAAGTCCATTTAAAACAAAAACCAAACCGTTGAAAGTGTGTAGATTTATAGTGGGGGACAACATGTGTTTTGTGGGAAGTTTTATTTTAATTTTTTTATTCCCCCTCTTTTGTAGAGGTGGGTTTTTTTTTTTTGGTTTTTTTTTACTCTTCTCCCCCACTTTACCTTAAATGTTAGCATATCTGCCTCAGGACCAATATTGCTGCTGAGATGTCAAGCAAATGACATAAAATTGCAAATTCCTTTGGCCATTAAATTGGCTACAGGCATCAGTCTGAAATGTTCTTGTAATATCTTATGAAAAAGACTTTGTATCCCATAATAAATTAAGTAATTGGGCAATTTAAAGGAACAGTCTATGCACCTTAACTAAATAACAATGCAGTGGTTATGATGCTATTAAGACATAGATGCCAGCACCTGGTTCTTTGCCAAACCATTTTTGATTGGATTGGCCAAAGCTGGAGTTTCCCCAGCCTCTGGCCCTCTGGAAATTTCACATTGAAATGTATTTGCAATGTTGAATTCTTGATTCCAATTTCAACACTATCAGTTGGCTGAGCTGTCAGCCGACCCACTCAGCCAATAAATGACTTTAAAATATGAATGAAATTGTTACCAAGAAAAAGACCTGCAGCTTGATAACCCCATAAACACTTGGCATACAGTAGTTATGGTGCATATACTTCTCCTTTTAATTTTGAAGGGCATTAAGATAAATTCTGAAGGAAACCTATAAGGCACTTTTTGTGTGTGAGAGACTGGGCATCCTGCAAAATATAGTGAAAATTAATTTCCTACTCTATTTGGATCTGTAATTCGTATTTTTTAATGTAATAAACTTTATAGTAGACTTTTTTATTTTGTTTGGAAATTTTTTCAAAGTTATTTTTTATTTTTATTGCAAAGAATTTCTTTGCGCTCTAAAATAAAATTGTAAAACTAAAAATAAAGTTGTTTTTAAAGCTTTGATCCCCTTCACCACCAGAGGCAAGCAATTGTGTTCTATGAGACTTTTACAGTTGGGGGGAACAAAATAATCTATTGCTTGCTAAGAATGGTTTATTTTGCACTCGTTGACCTAATGTGTTTTTGGACTTTTTTTTTTTTTTTTGTTCTTTCATCCATACTTTGTAATAACCATTAAAGTACCTAAAAAGCAGAAGTACTAATTGTAATTTTGGACAAATTAAATTTTTGTAAGTACACAAGTTAATTTATGATGACAAATCCATTTTATTTTTTCCTTCTAGGAGTGTTGGCCCAATTTCCTTCTGAATTAGAAACTTTTACAAAATTAAATTACAAGGGAAGAGGCATATTTTGTATAGAATTGCTTGAATTTGTTTAAATGTTTGCATTAATACTTCTGCTTTTTATATAGCAGAATTCTGTTTAGGGTGCATTAACATTTCTGTAGCATAAATGTTAAACAATTTCCTAAATTGGTTCTGACCCCATTCGTGTAACAACTGTGCTGTGCACTTTCATATTTGCTTATAACTAAGATGACTTTCCATTAGTTTCAACCGCGATGTCTATCCTTTCCCAAAATGCTTCACTTTTTTTTTTTTTATTTTTTTTTTTCTTCACTGAATTACATTGGATCACCATTTCAAATTTCTATAGTTCTGAAGAAAAAGTACATCTCATCAGCAGTCTTCAGTTTTTAATACTTATGCTTTTGGATGGATGTATTTTTCCTGTTCCTACAGATTTTATTTTTAATCATGTTTGACACTGGTGGATTTTCCATAGTTTTTGTTTTCCTCTCTGGCCAGAACAAGAATTCTTCTATTTTTGTGTCTGCTAGTTTACTGGACAGTTGGGGGAAGCATTTTTGGGAGACTTTTTTTTGTACCATGTTGCTATTGCCTCTCAAAATATTTTGGGTAAATATCCTTTTTTTTTTTTTTAAGCAATATGTTTCCTTGCTCCAGCGTAGAATGCAATAGAACATCAAGCAGCAGACAAACCAATATGATCCATATGGGTGGTGGGGAGACCTTTTTTTTCATACTGATACATATGTATATTTTAGCTTCATGTTTTCAAGGTGAAATGTAATAAAAACTGAACTGAAACTATGCCATGCGCATCCTACAATATATTTTGTCAGAAGTACAATAGGTTGGAAAATGTAACTAGCTGTTAGATATTGGGTATCCTGCAGCTCCCTCAGGGCCTGCCTCATTACTGGAACTTGGTTTTGAATAAGATTCTAGGGGTGCAAGACCTTGGCTGTCCAGCTGTTGAACCATATTTTCCATGCTCCTCTGCTAGCTTTTTTTTGGGCAAGGAATTATGGAACTTAGAGCAAAAGTTTGATAGCTAAAGTGGCACACCCCAGGAATGTTGTTCACCCAGATGTGGTGTTTCACAATTATCTGGTGTTATGTTTTTAACCAGCAGCACTGCCTAAGAAAGCAGATTTAAAAAAATAAATAAATAAAAATGAGAAAAAAAAGATGAAAATCCTAACCCTGTTTAAGGGTGACGGCTTTTTTTTTTTTTTTTTTTTAAACTAAAGTGATTTTATGTAATAAAGAAAAAATGTATGAGATAGCTATTTTCTATTTTCTGTGTGTATTAAATTGGTGAAAAGATTGTCGATTCTGTAATACAATATCTGAGCTGGCACAGCATTGTCTTGAAATCACATCTTTTGATATACTTTTGACATACCTTCATCTCCAGTAGTTGTACATCTTTTGTTCGTAGACCAACCCTGAAAGCTTATATAATATCCCATTTTATTTTTTTCTAAAAATTGAGCCTTTTTTCTGTTTAAAAAAACCCTTCAGTTTTCATCAGCCACGTGATTGTATGTTGCTGTGATCATTGTATATCCCACACATTCGTTCTAGAATCCAGAGTTTAACTCCCACCCCAAGACCCTACATTGCCTTGTTCTCTACCAGACCTAAGATAGATATATATTATTTTTTCCAGTGTCCTCTTCATTGCCAGTTATTACTTTAGGTATTCCTTTCTTAATAATGTTGGTTAAATCTGTCTGTTCTATTAATATGTAGGAATGCATTACCTCTGACTTACTAAAATGTATGTACACCTTTTGTATTCCCTTCAGTTGAAATGGCACACATTAGTGAATGTGGAATAGTTTAGTTTTTCTGTGTAGCACATTTCTAATGAACATTGGCACAATTTGGCCAGTAATACACTATAATAGCTGCAACTGCCTCACATCCGATGTGCAGGATCGTCAAAATATACATATAACTTACACCCTCATCTACAGATTGGTCAAAAATGTCATGCCCCAAATTACTGGCATAGCGTAGCCATCATAGAAATATCCATATAAGAACACCTATATAATTTGAATATATATATTTATTTTTGGTCCCCTCTTGCTACATGTGCATACAGAACATTCAAGAATGTGGGGTTTGCTTCCCCCGCACAAATCTATTTCTTGTAATGCGGTTTCCAATAAGTTATATTTTCCTAAAACCTTTTTTCTTTTCTTAATTAAACTTGGTCAACATTCACATGACTGTAGTTACGGTTTTTAGATGTGACTTATTAAGCACACCAGCCACATTTATAAGCTGCTAAACCATTCCATCCACTTTAAATCTGTGTTGAGGTCTGGGCTATACCATGCTTTTGGTTTAATTTAGCTTCTTCCATCCCATGCACATTGTCTGCAACATGCTCTTGATCAGAATATGTTTCACACTACTGTAGCGTCAAACCTACTACAATGGCAGCTGAGAATGGTCTACTCTTTGAATGCCTTTTAAAAATGTTATACTCTGAAAGCATTGAGTTAAAACAACATTTAGACTGCAACATGAAGTTGTGTATTTCACTTTGCCAAAATGGTGTGTATTGATTAGGCTAAACTTAAAAACAACAAAAAATGGTCACTAAACAGTCTGGATGAAGATAGCCTCTTGGCCATCTTGTTGGCATATTTGTAAACATGTGGTTGAAATAGTTCATGTGTTTATAGGGCATGTTTCACTATGCAGGAATACATGTTACTCTGCTCAGTCACCATAGTATATATATATTTTTTTTGGTTTTTTAAAACCCGCTTGTTTGGAACAGTCACCTTGAGATAAATTATTGGCAAAATCAAGCAATGAGACATCTTTGGCACAACTAACTTCTGGTATTATAATTTTGTCCTTCTCTACTCCCTGCTGATATTCATATGTTTAGATTCTCACATTTGTACATTTCTACTACTGCACCCTGTACATCTTGTGACTTGTTATTGCCTATACTTGAGTGACTAAACCAGTCAGTGGTGGTGTATTCTGGTGTGCTAAGCTCAGGCTACAAATTATTCTACAGTTTTTTTTGTTAATTTGCTAGGGGTGTGTGTTGTTTTTTTGGCTATAAAGGGAACCTTGTAGCTGCACAAGAACCATAATCAGACTTGTTCAACTGCCACCCTTCAACTACCCATAGTTTAATAACTTTCTTTCCTCTCCTCCACACACTTCTTCATTGAAGAAGCAGCTTAAGGTTTAGCATATGTCCCCATACATGCTCTTCTAACTACATAAATTCATTAGCTGTTCTTTAAAAGCACACTTTTTTTTTTTTGAGAATGTCTGTCTGCCTTCCATCAGGTTGCCGGTTCCTCCTTTTTAGGACTGCTTTAGGTTCCAAAATGAATGTATTGACCTCAAATACTCATACAGTTGCACTAGTTTACATTATATTAATGTCTGCAATGATCACGTAGAAGATCCAAAAACTTGCCAATCTTGTAAAAGTACAGTTCTCCAACTTAAGGTGTGGGGACCTGGTACAGTTTAGCTAACCGCCATTTAACATTGATGGTGAGTTTTTGACAGTCTGACATGCCTGAGCTTATTACACCGCTTTCTTTCCCCTTACGGTTTGTAAACGTGATCTCAAGAGTTGGTGTGGCTTACAGGTTTGTTTGAATATGCTAAAACTGTGCATCCCTTTCCTACTGTTGATCAAATCAGATGGATTTTTTTTTTTCTGTTACAGTGTCTTTGGAATGTAAATTTAATTGAAATCACCAGCCATTTTAACTTTTTTGTATTTTCTGCAGTTTTAATACAGAATCTGGATTGCACAGCTCACATGAGGTATTTTGGGCAATATATAATGTATCAAAGCTGTGTGCTCTGGAGTTTCCATAGTATTACAAATAAATGTGAACAATACAACACCCAGCCTAAAAGTTGCACTGTTAGTCTTGCTTTCTAAACTTGTGGCAGCTGAAGAGGAGAGGTGCTGAAGAACCTCAAACTACTATTTCTGATGACAAAATACTTTATCCGTGTTTGGAGTTCGGGTACTGCTCACACATAATGTATAGGGCTAAATAATTGCTTGTTTCCTTGTGTACCTTTTTTTACCCCATCTATGTAGGCAATAAATGGCCATTTTGCAACTGCATATTTGCCATGTCTTTTTTGCTTTAAATTTAGTAGTTGTGCACAGATTCTTAAAACCTGTATATATGTCTATAAAATCTAAGCCTTTTTACATTTTAATTCAAAGGAGCGAACGCAGCGTAAAAACTCGATTGAAGCCTAGCATATTATACAAATTATTTGTATTACATCTACACCTGCTATGACACTTGAACATTCATAAAATCTGATGGTTTTAATATTATTTAGAAATGCTAATTACGTATGGGAATGTTCTCCTCATTTGGGTTTTATTCACCATTTTAGCCTAAAATTGCCACTCCAAATGCAGCTCTCTCAAATATGTTGTAGTTGGAGAATGTTCCAAGCTCAACTAATTATTTGAATATGCAGTTCCACTGTTATGCTCAATTTCCAGTTTAGGCTTTGCTTTATTTTTGGATAATGTATATTTTTTTATTTTTAATAAAGTTTATCCAAAAACCTTAAATACCAATATCATTTTAACAGTTTATGAGATCTTAAATGATTTTGTAAAGCTTATTCAGCAATATTAAATTGAGGCTTTAGTTACTAAAACTTTTTTTTTGTGTGTGTGTGTGTGTGTGTGAATCAGTTGGCCCTTTCATTGTGAATGACCAGAACATTATAACATCTTTAGATTATGTTGCTTACTCTGCTAGCATCATACCCATTTCTGTAAGTTGTAATTGTTGTGATGCTTAGTCCCTTGGTTTGTGCAGTCCTCTAGTAAGTCAGATTTTAGTTACCTATTTTTAATATACATTTGACACCACTGGCTCCTCTGTCACCGTTACTGCAGACATTTGTGCTGCTCTCCTTACACTTTGTCAATGTAGCTCAACTATATATATATATTTTTAAATTCTTTATTTTTGGTCGTGACACATAACAATGTGCAGTGGATATGACATTTGGGTGGCTTGCGCAGAAGCCTGTATTGGCATAGTAAGACGATTCAATAGTTAACACATCATTGCGGCTTACGCAGAAGCCAAAGTAAACGTGGTGGTGTGGACTTGGTTAGTCAATATTGCAGTTAAAAAACATGCCCCGCCACTTTTTCATTTTTAATGTTTCGTATAGACATCTATTGCTGTCACGGCAAAGAAAGATACCCAGTTATTGTAGCCTTTTAAGGGCTTTCACAAAAGCCAGCGTTACATTATGCAATACAATATTTCACGGTTACATAAAGGCCTTCGTGAACATGTGTGTTACTGGGGCAGCTCATGTGGTTTCTGCACTGTAATGATCTGTCACTTTGAACTTTTATACCACCTTAACATTCTTAAGAACGTAAAGGACCACTCTAGGCACCCAGACCACTTCAGCTTAATGAAGTGGTCTGGGTGCCAGGTCCAGCTAGGGTTAACCCATTTTTTCATAAACATAGCAGTTTCAGAGAAACTGCTATGTTTATGAATGGGTTAAGCCTTCCCCCTAATCCTCTAGTGGCTGTCTCATTGACAGCCACTAGAGGCGCTTGCATGCTTATCACAGTGAGAGCACGCAAGCGTCCATAGGAAAGCATTATGAATGCTTTCCTATGTGACCGGCTGAATGCGCGCGCAGCTTTTGCCGCGCGTGCGCATTCAGCCCAGGAGGAGGAACGGAGGAGGAGATCTCCCCGCCCAGCGCTGGAAAAGGGTAAGTTTAACCCCTTTTCCCCTTTCCAGAGCCGGGCGGGAGGGGGTCCCTGAGGGTGGGGGCACCCTCAGGGCACTATAGTGCCAGGAAAACGAGTGTTTTCCTGGCACTATAGTGGTCCTTTAACATCAAGCAAAGAGAAAAAACAGGTAGTATGATAGGAGGAAGACGGGGTAGATGGCGGTACTGTTCTCCCCCTGGTCGGTGTGAGATGATGTGGGGAGGTTCGGTTGGTGGTCTCGTCATTGGCCCGTGGTTGTTAATCTTAGCACGAGTGTGTGTATGGTCGCCCTGTACGAGCCATCATGTTTTACCCCGTTTCCTTTTAGAGGAGAAGAGAGAGAGGAAAAAAAGGGGTGGGTGGGAAGAGGTGGGTAGGACCTACTGTCGGGAGAAGGCAGGAGTCTGCCTACGAAGGGTGGTCTCTATTTCCCTGTAGGATCAACTATATTTTTTTTATTTTTTTTATTCTTTGAGCACTATAACCCACTGTAGTGGCCTGAATACTAAGAGTCCCCTGTCAGACTCTCAACCAGGGTGCCCTTTTATATTACTTAAGAAATCTTGGTTATGATATCTGTTGTCAGTGTGGTTAGTTCTTGTTAGAATCAAAATGTCCCCTTTTACTCAAATATTTGGTGTAAGTTTTTAAAATGGCAACGGTTCACAACAGCGCATTTATTTATTTTTATTGGTGCCCATTTGTGAATGCGTGGGATAGGATTTAAAAAAAAAAAATAAAATAAATCCTGTCCTGGATACACTAAATTATACTATCTTGAAAGTGTTCGATTTTAATCTATACTTTGCGTTTACAGAATGTGATTTATGAAGCCGTGGTGTTGGCAACATCAGGAGATACACCCTCCTCAGGGATGTATTCCTACACAGGTAGGTGAATAACTGCTTCCCAAGCTGCTGAGCACTCTCATGGAATCAAACTGGGTGCAGTTCTGCAGTGTCCTTTTTGTAGTTGCTATGGCACTTGCTAAATTATATACATTCAGCGAACATAGTTGGTATTAGTGGAGACAAATCTGGGTAGCATACAGATGTTAAATGTGGGGTTACAAACTTCTACAAGCTAGTTATGGTTTGACTTTTTTTTTTTTTTTTATTTAATATGTAGAAAAACCGTTTTGAAGAGGACATTCTAAGCCCCAAAACAAATAAAATACAAACTAACAGGTAAAAAAAAAAAAACTGTCTACACTTCAGGCCTTGCTTCAATTTCAGTGAAAACACTGGTCTGTCAGCCAGTTCAGCCCTCTTCATTGAAGCCAATAATGCAAATTGTGTAAGGGCATCTATTTTGTAGTGTTTCCTTGTAATATCATCTGTGCAAAACTGAGGTTTTGTTAGAAATTCTCTCCGTAAGTGTATCAAAGGGACACTTGAGTCACCAGAACTAAAGCTAATGTAGTTGTTCTGGTGAGTATAATCATTATATGCAGGCATTTTCGTGCAAGCACTGCCTTTTCAGAGAAAAGACCGTGTTTACATTGCCCCTGGGGACACATCCAAGTGGCGGCCACTCAGATGGCCACAGGAGGTGTTTCTTGGCTCAGTGCTGCACAGTAGGCAGCTCTGCCGTTCAGCGTCCCCACGCTGAATTTTCCTCATAGAGATGCATTGATTGAATTCATCTCTATGAGGAGGTGCTGATTGGCCAAAACTGCATTTGGCCCCACCCCTTGTCTGCTGGAATGAATCAGAATTGGCGATTTGTAGCCAATCCAATGTCACAAGGGGGTGGAGTCAGTCCCGGCAGACTCTCAAAGCGCTGGAAATAAGGTGAGTTTTTCAAGCTTTGGGGGGGCCACCTTTAATGGTGGGTTTTGCACTATAGGGTCAGGAATACATGTTTGTGTTCCTTTAAATTTAACTTCTTGTGTGTGGTTTGTGTTTTTTTTTTTTTTCCTCCAAGAGTGGACAGTTGGTCTACTTATAATAGCATTTTTTAACCAAGACAATAGCAGCACCACAATTTAAGGACTCTGTAATACGATCCATAGCACTCCCCATCAACCTGTTAACAAATTTGGTTTTAAGTCACCAGTCCATTTTACTTAAAGGTACATTGTAGTGCCAGAAAAAGTTGTTTTCCTGACATTAAAGCTTGCTATAGTGCCCCCCTCTGCCGCGGCAACCTGATGCAGTTAAAAACACCTGTCGCTTACCTTGTTCCAGTGCCAATATCCCTCGGCACTGGTTCAGGCTCTGCCTCTGCTCCTTGCTAGTCTACGTTGGCAAGCGGGGGAGACCTAATGCGCATGTGCGGCAATGGCCACACTTGCTTTCTTATGGGGATTTGGGTTATGCTGGAAGTCCTCATCCAAAAGTCGCCTAATGACTCGGAAGTCCCACTGGTGGTACCACTAGAGGTGGAGTTAACCCTCAAAGGTAATTATTGCAGTTTATTAAAATTAAAATACCCGGAATTTAAGATCCCTGCAGAGGGTTCACTACATAGAGCTAGCACTAATCTTAAACATTATGTGGGGAGTCCAAATTTGAACAGAATAGACTTAAGTATGCCGAGCTAATCCTATAAAGTGCCTCTTCGGCCCTCCGGATGTTTTGTTCTACATCTCCCTTGGCCACTTTCTTTGTTGTGAGTTAGCCATTTTATTTTTTTTTACCATTTTTATTATTTTACTACCTGGCATCTAAGTTTTACTTGTTCCAGAGAGATACTACTCCAAAGCATCATAGGGGATTATACCACTTACATCCTATCATTGAGCAGTGCGTTATTAAATATGAGCAACCATTTGGTATTTTTATACTCTCCTGGTTTTATCACAGTGAGCACTATTGTTTTTTTGTTACATATGGTCCCCATCTGACGAGATCTACCCTCACGTATCCCATAAGTGGATTATACCACTGTACGCTGTTTATACTAGAGCTAGTTTTTAGCTCTCAAAAACATGAGTAGGACCATATATACTTTTTTTTTTTTTTTTTATTGGGTTTTAGTGCACTATTAGATTTTTTTTTTTTCTTCTCTCATAAGGATCCGACGAACCCCTTGATCTCACTAGTCCATAGGCATCTCTACCTCAAATAGAACTGTGATTGTTCTCTCATCCTAAGGTTTTACTTGACTGTTCTATCTATATTTATATCTTCTATTTTTTTTATTCTCTGTACTCTCATTTTTTTATTTCTATATTAATACTTGCTTATATTTAATTGTACATATCTCTGTTGCGCCACCTTTTTCTACTTCATTATCTCCCATAATGCTCTTACAGCCATAGTGTTGGAAAAGCACAAAGGGAGATATAGTCCAAAACATCTGGAGCATCGAGGGTTCCCCACCCCTGACCTAAAGCATCAAAAAGGCTTGGAGTAGATTGACGCTTATTTCTAGGATGTCCAAGGCCTGTCACAAGTTGTCAGACTCTAAGACCTAGGACAAAGCCAGTTTGTTTGGGAGAGACAACCAACGGCAAAAGGTGTTTAGTCTGTTAGCTAACACTTTGATGTATAACTTAACATCTACATTAAGTAGCTATGAGGCATAAGTTTGCGCAAGATACAGGGGGTTTCCCAGGTTTAGGTATTACAACTATGTGTGCTAGCAAAAATTCTTGTGAGATATATGGCTGGGTGAACTGAAACCATTAAAAGGGTCAGTAGGTGGGGAAGCAGCAGATCAGAGTATAAGAGTTTAGGGCCTGGGGCTTTGTGCTGTGACATTTACTTGTCAGCTTGTTTCACTACTTCCAGACTGGTATGGGTGTTTAGTTTATTCTGTAAAGCCTCAGGGAGGCTTTGAAGGCCTGCCTGCGATATCTGCTTGGGATGATTCAGGTATGTCATCTGCCTCTAAGAGCCTAAGTGTAGACTATAGAAGCGGGGTTGGTTACCTTGTGTCCTTTGCAAATGAAAATTCCATTTCACCTGAATGCAGTTTGCTGGTTTTGTTTTAATTTAGAAACTAAGAGCTTTCCAGTCCTGTTGCCTTGTTTGAGTCTTCTCAGTGTGTGTGTTCCATCGTTTGCAGTTGTAGAGCTTGCATTTGTGTTGGGTATCACTTATTTGTTGTTTGTAGCTTCTATTGTGTACATTTTTGACAGTTTGATGTAGGTTCCTGCAGTTTTTATTTTTTTATTTTTTTTTAAATGGAGCCTTGTTTAATGAGGGGAGACCGGACTGCTTTATGCCCACTCTTCACAAACCAGAGTTTGAGTGACAGAAATGTCTCTTGTACACTGTTGACTCGCGCATCCATGGAAGTGGCTCCCTGCAGGAGTTGTTGCCATTTGTGAAGGCTGTTAATATTTTTTTTTATAGAGGCAGCCATATTGTTTCATCAGGAAGAAGACTCCTTTCATTATGAAGTCACTTTCAAGTGAATTGGAGTGATAATATTCCATTCCTTGCGTGGCCGGAGACCATCTTGTGGAGTCAGTACTACAATTAGTGCCATTCCAGAAGTTTGATGGGCTAACACCATGTGTAGGTTATGTTTGATGGGCTAACACCATGTGTAGGTTATGTTTGATGGGCTAACACCATGTGTAGGTACTTCGTGACTTTATTAAACTCTCTGCAAATAGGAGCATGTTTGTGAAGAGTGGGCATCTTCCGGGCTGTCGTCATCAAGGCCTTGCGTGACCTGTCGTAGTTCAGCCGCACCAC